CGGCCCCTCCGCCGGACCGCACCCCTGCCTAGCCCGCCGGCTGCCTGCGCTTGAGCACCAAGTTGGCTCCGGGAGACCTCGGTGGCCCGGCGGCTGGGAACGGGCGGCTACATTCCCTAGCCCTACCCTCCTGCTTTCACTGAAAGACAGCCTGTAGCTCCTTCCCCGCAGGCTGGAGAAGTCTTGGGAGCTGAGCTGTTGTTAAGTGCTTCGCACGTACTGCTAAGTGTTTCTAGTGGTTTGCATAGTATTTATTGTTTTTCATATACACAAGGCTGATTACTGTACAGTTTATACTTGGAACACGGACTACGATAGAAGTGCTTGCAGATATAGAAAACCTCTTCTTTATGGCCATGCTGGTGCGGTCTCGGCGGCCACTGGCCCTTCTCCCGCTGAGACCTTCTGCATGGGGCCCTAGCTACTCTGAGCCCTCAGCTAAGACTGGGGTCCCGCCTCTGACTCCTAAGTGCCTAACACAAGGTACCCCAACTCAAGCTCAGGGTGATGATTTTCCATTAGAAGATAATTAATACTGAAACTGGCAGCAGGGGGAGAGTAGAAAAATCCCAGTTTGTCCACGGGGAAGTGTACACGGCTTCAGAGGCCACAGTGAAATCAGCCTGTAGGCTGCACACTGGACAATTCCCATCCCAGAGGTCTGTAGGCTCTGGGGCTGCCCCTGGGCAGAGGGGGTGGAGGTGAGTGTGGTCCGAGAGAGCTGATGGCCACGGACATCAAGGTGCTAAACTGATTTCATGCCTAGCTTTTCCTTCTTTCCAGGAAGCCCACATAGATTTCTTACAGATGAAGTTGAAAAATAGTACCCTGTACGAAGTCAAAAATCAAAATAATTTTTTTAAAAAACCCCAAACCATCCCCAGCCACAAAAGAGCCCTTTGCATTCGCGCTCCCTCTCATGTGCTCTCTCTTGCGCTGATTGTCCCTTCTCTCCCCTCTCCCCTCCCCTTGCTGACAGATCCGGGGTCGCTAGGGCAGGATTGCGGACTGTAGGTCATGCAGAGTCTACAGCCAGTGTCATGCGGCAGGAGACGAAAGGGGTCCCTCACAGAGCTCGTGCCAGAGCCTAGCGGGGCATGGGCAGCCCGTCGCCTCCAGTCCAGCGCTCCTCCTGTGTGCGTGGCAGACTGTGTGGAGTCAGGGGTTGGGTGTTGAGGTGTGATCCTGAGGCACACAAAGAAAGGGTCACTTAGGACCTAAAGGTGCAACTACCGGCAAAAACCCCAAATGTGGTTGGTGCTGGCTCGGGCAGGTCAGCAAGCAGGGGAACATGGAAGGCTGCCCTGCTGCAGATGAGATGCTGACCCCATGGACACCTGTCCATCTGTCCCTGCTCCCTGCACCGAGGCCACTGCCCAGCACTGCCTCCCACTTAGGCCTCCAGGGAAACCTGAGTAGGGTTAGGGAGAGGGCTGTATGCTGCCCCCAAAGGAGGCATGTAGGAAAGAGCCCTCCATGAACCCAGACCTCACCGAGAAAGAGGACAGGCCGGGCAGTGTGGCCTTCACACTCTCGGGCTGGCCTGGCTGCCAAGGACTCAGGTCTGCTCTGTGCCTGTCCTGGGGGCCCCCATTAGAGCACGTGTGACTGGCTTCCATAGTCAGGGCCTGGGAAGACAGCTTCTCTGGAAAGATGGGTGAATTCTCCCCAGAGCATGGTGGATCCCCAGCAAGGCTGTCTCCTATCCCCACAAGCCTCATCTGCCACGCGGGCATGAAAACGCCATGTTTTCAAGACCAGCTTCTCGAGATTCTGTCTGCAGGGACCTAGGGAGATTGGAAGAGGACTTAGCCTCCTGAGTGGGATAGTAAGTGACAGAAAGGCAGCAAAGCATTCAGAGGCAGACCTGTCCCCACAGGAGGCTCTGACTCGGGCCAGGCTAGGTGTGGCCAAGGAGCGTGTGATTAGATAGCTCCAGGGAGGGGCGGGTGCTCTCCCTGAAACTAGGCACCTTTCCTGCCAGGCTTAAGGCTGTTTGTTACCCACTGTCCTCTCTGCTGCACTCCTGCCTGCCCCTCGGGACATGTCCCTTCCTCTCAGCTGTCCCTGCCTGCCACCACCTTTTTGTTGAGCCCTCACAGTGTGTGACGAGCGGGGACTCTGAAGCCAGAATGCCCAAGTTCAGATTCTGCTCCTGCCAATTACTTGCTGCCCTATCCTGATCAAGCTGCTCACCCGCTCCATGACTTGGTTTTCTCTGCTACGAAATGAGGGCAGTGGTAGGACCTCCCTCATCAGGCCACTGTGATGTCTGGAAGACCTAAGAGATCTGTGATGTGTTTAGGACTGCGGAAACTCTCTCTGAACTGTTATTGTTCTCTTTCCCTTTTAGCGTCGGTACTGTTTCCCTGGCTAGGCTCTAGGGCCCGGGAAATGAACACATACACCAGTGCTAGCCTCTTGAGTAGAAGACTGTCTGGAACCGGAGCCTTGGAAAGACCCACTGTTAAGTAGAGGAGAAAGTTCAAGTCTTAGAGGCTGTTGTGGTACAAGTGCCCATTTTGTCAGGGTAGAGGGACTTAGGAGGAGCAGAACTAGGTGCAGGTGGAGTGCTGCGACCCATGCCCCTCCTACAGCTGGGCCTGGGCCTAATCTGAGAAAGGGCTCACGTTTCAAATCTCAGAAAGCCGCCCTTCCCCTCCGCGATGCGCCAGCCAGGGTCTCCCCTGGACTCGCTGTGGTGGCCCCGCGCCTGCGCTGTCTCCCCTCTACTCATGTCCTCTCGGGGGCTGAGTGAAGGGTGGACAAGAGCACCTTGCTCCCCATCCCCCATGCAGACTACTGTTCCATCTCAGATTTATCAAAACATCCTATTGTCAGAGCTAATCAAGTCTTGCAGCCACACTGAAAGGAAAGTGCCCCTTAAAAAAAATAGGAAAACAAAAAAGACAGTGGCCTTTTCCGTCCGCAGCTTTCCAGAAGTTCCTTCAAGGATGAAGACTGCCGGCCCAGGCTGTTGGTACCCGGTTCTGCAGCGCCCCTGCCCCGCACTGCCCTAGTGACACCATGCACGAACACTGGCACAGAGCAGAACCTACGACCTCCGCAATCTGCTCCAAACCAGAACCACCTTGACTCCACAGCAGACCCCTGCCTGTCAAATGTGCCCTTCAGACAGTACCCTCATCTGTCAGGCCTCAAGTGCCAAAGCCTCCCTGAAGCGGGCCTTGCCAGGACGACACATCCTGCCCCTACCTGAGCTGCAAGCCTGCGTTCATTCTAGTCCCCTTTGCACGTGAAGCCTACAGCTGTGCCACTGGCTTCCAGGAGATTTGGGAAGAAGAATCAAAACAAGTCCTAGTAACTTAACTTTCAGTATGCATGGAAAATGCCTGAGCAGATCAATGCCGCATCTTGAGTTTGAGAATTTTAACTGGCAAGACTGGGGCAGAGACCAGAAATCCACACTGTTTTCTCAGGATCTCACATACAAGAGCCCTCTGCTCTTGGGTTCCTGCCTAGGAGCCCATTTCAACAAGACTCTCTGAGGGCTGTCTCCAAGGGATGTGGAAGCCCTCTCACAAACATAAACTCATCGATCCCGATAGCCACCTTGCAAGGAAAGGATTGGCATTATTGCTACTTTGTGCATAACAGACCTGAGGCTGGGAAGGTCAACTGATTTGCCCCGAGTACCACAGAAGATAAAAGCCCCCACCGACTAAGACCATGGATGCTCTTATTTTCTCTTTATAGCAGGTCTCAGTTACTCATACACTTTTATTTTTCTGATGCTAGTGATTGAATCCAGGGCCTCATCTGTGCCAAGTCTGAACTCTGCCACCGAGCTCCATCCCTGTAAGCGTTTATCTTGCAGTGTAACACACAGGAAGGGACTGTCTCCTCCTTCCTTGAGCAGTCTGACACTCTGGGATATCAGATGACTTGTTTAAGGTTGCGTAACCCGGAAATAGAAGGAGCCAGCCACTGAATCTTGACTCTGAGTCCCTGCTGTCTGAAACAAATACAGCTGGCTTCATACTCCACAGCAGTCATGCTCCCCAGAGTGTGCACAGACTGGATCCCTATGGGAAGTGCAAGCCCGGGCTCCTATTAGCCTCTGTTCATAGCATTTTTGTTACCCGTGGATACATAACCCTTCATGTGTGCTTCCGTTTAAAGATGCCGTGTTGACACACTGGCTGCTTGAGTAACACCCTCAGCACCAGCAGCACAGTAACATCCACCGGGAGCACACGTGTGCTCTCTGGAAGGCACACTGCAGCCTCTTGTTGCTCTCAGAAACACTGGACAGGGCCAGGGATTTGGCTCAGTGGTTCCGGTGCCTGCCTCGCAAGCACAAGGACTGGAGTTCAATCCCCGGTACCAAAAAAAAAAAAAACAAACCACTGGACCGCCCTTCCTCACTACCGTGGAGATGGTTTTAGATGGCGAGATCACCGGGGACAGACAGACGTGCACAAAGCGTCACACAAGGGAGACCGCAGCAGGACACATGTGCCGTGTGAGGGCGGATGCAGCACAGGGCTGCCTTGGTTGGCCTCAGCTGGGAACACCCACCCTGGCTGACACGAAGCTTTTGCTGCTGGGTGCGCGTCTGTGAGCGACACAAAAGTGTGGTGGGCACTGGCTTTGGGTTACAACCTTGAGGAAGTGGGCAGAGCTGCGGATGAGGATCGACTACACTTGCTTGCAAGGTGGCGGCAGGAAATAGACCTAAGAGCCTGCAGCCCCTTTGCTGTCCTCTCCGTAGCCTTCGCTCTTGAGGGGAGGGCTCAGCATTTTAGGCCACCCCAGAGGTCCTTAGCTAGGCAGGGCCGCTGTGCCCTCAGCGCAGCCCCCGCCACGTGTGTCCTTTTGTCTTTTACTGGCGGAGGGCCCAGTGCTGTCCTGGAGCCAGCCTGTCCGTGTTCCTGACACCCACACTCCTGCGGCCTGGTCCCCAGTTACCTCTGGAGCTTTTGACCTCTGCAGATTATCTACAGCAAATTAGAAATAAATTATGAGCCCTCCTTCCCCCTAGCCGAGCTGCTGGGCTGCCTATCAGGGACACTGGTAGCACCACAGCGAAACTGGAGCTCGGATTTAAAGCTGCTGCGACTACAAGAAAATTAGGCAGAAGAGCACTCATCCTTCAACTCTCCTCCTTGCAATTCTTTGCCCCTCTGGGTTATTTCCAGGACCAGAAAGCTGCTAATGACAGCCTTCTACGTGAGTGGTGGTGGCAGGGCCCCTGGCTGTGCAGGGGTTAATGCTGTGACCTGCTTAAGCTGCTGAGGAGTCAGGTCTAATTTTATCCTCCGACTGGACCCGCCAGTACTCTTTTTTTTTGCTCAAGCGCTGAGATATGTTGAGAAGCACCAAGTCAGCACTTCTGGTTGTGTGGGAGGCAGCAGGTCCTGCTTTTTGCAGAATGCAGAAAGCCAGTGCCTCTTGCTGCTCAGCCCCAGAGCCAGACCTCCGAGACAGCACCAACCGCTCTGTACTGTGCGGGGTCACAGTGGTGTTAGGAAATAGACCCCCAACCCAATGCATCCTGTACTGTGCTGCCCCGAGTGGGGCAGTGAAGGGCCTCGGGCAGCTCAGGACAGAATCCCTCAGGGAGGCTGGGATCAGAGCTGGCCAAAGCCCCCAGCACTGTGCTGCCTGATAGAGACCCTCACTGCACCCATGACCCCCTCCCCCAGTCCTTCAGCCCAGGCTTACACTTGCCAGGTGCTGGCACCCAGCCCCAACCAACCCTAGTGACCTTCCTGATGTTCCACAGGATGCCACCTGGCCCCGGGCCCGTCGACATAGACCCTGCCTTGAAAGCAATAGGGACAGAACACGAGGGAACATGGAAGCCTTGGGCCGGGCTGGTCAGCATTCAGTTGGGGCCGAATTCAAAGGACAGCCCAGCTCCAAGCCTTGGAGCCCATCCTGAAACGTCACAGCCCGTGTGGACTCTGCTATGCACTTAGTGGCCTGGCCTCCAACCTCTACAGCCATACTGCTTGGTTTCCATGACTACTTAGACTGTTGGAGTACTTTTCACTCATCAAAGCATTGTTTGTTTCAAAGCTGTACAGGGCTAAATTCTCAGCTCAGGGGCAGAGCATTTGCCTACCACGTGTGAGGCCCCGGCTCTACACCAGCACCACAAAACCCAAACCAAACTGAACCAAACCAAAATACACTCTCATACTCCCTGAGAAATGGGTGTAGGAGACGGGCTCGCCTCTGTTTTCTTGACCAGGATGCTGAGGGCTTAGGCAGGTGCTACAGGGGCAGAAGGAAGCTGGGCCTCTGGCCACACCATCAGGGTGGTCACCTGCATGACGCTGGCAATGGGAGCTGAGCGCCCTGGGAGTTGGGCACTGGGGCAGCCATGCAACTGTCACCGAGGGCTCATCCACGCAGAAAGGAGGAAAAAGCCACCTTTACCTCCTGAGAGGCTGCTCCAAGAAGAGAGGCTTGAGATCATTGTTTGCCCCGCTTCAGGCTGGCCCGCTTCACTATCTGAGCCCCCTTTCTGCCCTCTATCGGGTCCGGCTGTAGGCCACTCCCTCTCACCTCCACCTGCAGACAGCAGTAGGACAGAAAGCGGGACAGACCACACAGAGAGATAAGAGAAAAGTAGGGAAATGAAGGAAAATGAACAGTACTGAGCTGGCAGAATACTGTCCCCAAGCAGGAAGGTGACAGAGGAGACTAGGTGCAGACTGAGCTGGCCACAAGGCCACAAGTGAGTGCTCTGGGTCCATTGGAAGAGTGGGCCTCCAGGGTCCACAGCCCCCTCAATACCTTGTCAAGTTTTGTAATGAAATCGGGGTCGGTTTCCAGCACACTAGTGTCCTCCAGGGGACTCCCAACAATCACCTCCTCGTGTTCCTGGGTGTCGTCGGCACCAGATGAGTCTATCTGCCGAACAACTTTGCGGATGATCTGGAAAAGAGAAGGAAGGGGCAAGGGGATGGTCAAGCCGCCACGGCAGAGAAGAGCAAGAGCACACTCCCAGGAGTGAGAGAGGGAGGAACAGCGCCTTCCTGAGGGGCCGGGAGAGGGCCTGGGTCTTGCCGCCCTCAGTCTGTGGGAACAGGTCAGGGGGCGGGCTGGACTCTGTGGAGGGTTCTCGGTACATTTTACTTCCTGACCAAGGTCTGGGCGTGAATGATGTTATCTGAAGCCCACAGCATTTCCCTCTGCCCCTGGGTCTGGACAGGTGCTGTCACCCATGCCCGCAGGCAGGGGCGTTTCCTTTTCATCTGCAGGAATTCATTTTACCCACCCAGCACGCCTTCACTCACCCGAACACTCAAACACCCTTTACACTTGCCATGTGCTCAGAAGCAGGAGGTGAAAACACAGATACAGCCCTTGCCCACGCAGAAGGGGAGAGGAGGACATGAGGGTCTCGCTCCTCTGCCAGTGCAAGCCATCTCTGTGGACATGCATGCGAAGCCCTCCCTCTGCTCACCCTGCTGGCTCCAGTAAGCATGGGGCTGACCCCTGCCAGGCAAAATCACTCTGCCGCGTTCACACAAGCTCTGAGTTTGCAGAGGGCCCGCGTCTTTCTTAGCGGGGGCAGCCCTGGGAGGCTGGGGATGGGCACACTGTTCTCCCAGTAGCTATTCTCAGGGCCAGGCACCACAGAACTAGGTTTGGGATGGTTCCTGGGGGCTGGTCCTCTGGAATAGGGGACAAAAGCATTCAGGTTGGGTCAGACGAGGTAGCCATGAGGACCACCATGTCCCGAAGGCCAGTGTTCTAGCACTTGCACTGTCCCTGCACAGCCATGGAGGGGAGGACCACAGAGTTCCCACCTGTTAGGGCCACCATGAGACGCTGCTTCGAGTCGAGTCCCACTCCCGTCTAGTGTCCAGCCCTGCCTGCCTGTTTCCAGCTCAGAGGGCTCTCAACACCCACCTTCTTGGTGACAAAGTTGCCTTGCTCATCTGTGAATTGTTCCTCTGTCACCTGCTCCCCTGGAATATTCTGAAGCTCATTGCCCTGGTATTGGAAAAAGAGAAATAAAATCCAAGGTAGGTAAGTGGAGGAGGAGCAGGAAATGAAAGAGCCGTGTAGCCATAGCCATAGCCTCATCCGAGGAAGCCCCCCCGGGGGGGCAGGAAATGGCAGCTCAGTGTTGACACTGAAGTGGCCGCTCAGGGGCTCCCAGAGTGTGGGCAGTGCTACACAGGCTGCAGACAGGATGCCCAGGCTCTCAGCAGCTGGAGACTTGACCCTTACAAGGCCCCTAGTGAGAATGTGAGCTTCCTAAAGGCCCCAAGAGGAGGCACTAGGGCTGCAAGTTTACAGCTTGATGGCTCAGAAGCCCACTACAGACAGCTGTCCCGAGCGTGACCTTCCCACCATCCCACAGCCGGTTGGTGGCACAAACAGGACATGAGCAGGCCTCCTGCGTTCCACAGCCGGGCTTTCTCAGCCATCACCCTGTATCGGCCCCAGGGTCCCATGCAGGCGCTGTGCACAGCTCTGGGGCCTGGTGCCAGGCCTGACCCTTGAAGGCCCTCTTGATCCTTCTTTTTCAATGCAGCCCCTGGCTCCAGTGCCCCCCACCCCATGGCACCCTGGGGCCCCACCCTGGCGGTTACCTTCAGGAAGACCCTCCGCCGGACCACCCTGGTAGAGACGGTCTCCTCCTCGTCACTGCAGCCCTCACCCTCCCCGAGCTCCTTGTCGAGCTCCTGGTGGATGTGCTTCAGCACGAAGCACAGGGAGCCCTTGACGATGTGCATCACATTCTGACAGCTGACCAGGAAAAAGCCCAGCAGCACCAGGGTGACCAGGACCTGGGTGATGAACGTCCACATCCTCACCTCCGCTCGCCGGCCTGGCCCTCCTGGGACTGGCGTGGCCAGGGGTGGGCCGCCACAGGGACCCAGCTCATTGTCCGCGGCCACCCCCGAGTCCCCCCACAGCCCCTTTCATTGTGTCTGACTCTGTCTCTCTGGCCTGCTCTGTCTCCGGCTGTCTCCCAGCTGAGCAGCCTGGCCTGAGTGCCCCTCCTGCCGCGCAGCCCCAGGCTCTGCCCTCACGCTCAGTGACATCAGGCATCTATGATTTAAGTTCCCAGACCAGCTGCAGGGGCTGTCCAACTGGGCTAGAAGGGTGCTGGCAGGTGCTACGTCCATGGCTGGAGGCACATGTCAAAGTCACCGTGGAGTGGCAGGGGCTGGTCCATTGGCCTTGCCAACCAGTCTATTCCTGTTCTGCCAAGCTCCTGAGCCAGGGACTCTAGAAAATAAGAATTCTGAGAATGTGATTAACTCCTGCATCTCCTTAGTGCAGTGATCAGAATGATATCGTCTCACAAGAGGCCTGGGACTGGGAAGTACCCCGGAGACTGAAGGGTGCGTTGTAAAAATAGCCCTGAGGGCGAGTGATTGCTCAGGCCCCGCCTGAGGAGCAGGGCCAGGCTCTGCTGTACAGCACCGACTGAGGCTGGCTGCCTCTCCTCTTCCACAGGCTCTTGGCCCTTCCTTTATGGGCATAGCGACTCCCCAGGCCCTGTGTGCCTGTTCAGGGCCTGTCCTTAAAGGCTCTTCCCTCCCAGGCTGCAGTACCCCCTGAGAAGGAGCCAGGAGTATTTCACTGGGGTCCACCCTGCGGCCCCAGCAGTGGCGGTGGGAAGGACTTCACCTTGGGAGTCAGGCTGTTCCCGAGTAGCGGGAAGAACACAGATCCCAATACAGCATTTTGGCCCCACAACTCACTTTCCCTACCTGTAAAAGAGAGGTGAGGTGCTCCACCTACCCCTTTTCAAGAGTGTGTCCTAATACTACCTCTACAGGTAACAGTGCAAATCCACTCTTAGGCACTGTGTGTGGTCCCCACAGGAATGTGGTCCAATCCCACGGCCACCCTGCCACATGTCTTCCCTCATTCTCCTGTGTCTCACTGAGATCAGCAAAGAGCTACTCGCCCAGTGGAAGGGAAAGCGAGTGAGCCACGTTCCAAGTCCTGCCGTGCCCAGCGCAGCCGCACTCCTACTAGATGGGCCAGGGAGAGAAAAGCCAATAGCACACTCAAAGGCACCATCATGGGCGAGAAGCCAGGCTGAGAGGGCGGCTCAGCAGTGAGTGCTTGCCGAGCACACGAGGGCCTAGGTTCCGTCCCCTGTGCCCCCAAAACAGCCAAAACAAAAGAGCCCACCTTCAACTATTTCAACCTGGGTCTCCAGCGGAATGACCTGGGTTGTTATCCTTCCCGGCCCACCTCCAGGCCCCCCCATGGCCTGGCATCTCTGCATCTCTCTGTCAGTTTTCAGAGAATCAGTGGAAACACTAACACATGGGAGCTTTGTGACAGCCTCTTTATCTTCGTCTGGGTCCTGTCAGATGACTCCTGACAACTTCCAGCCCATTCCTCCAAGTGTCCCCAGACCAGAGGACCACGGGGTCTCTGTTTTCAGGCATGGAGGCGGCCCTGTATATATTCACCCTAGCCACAATGTGGAGCTAGAAACAAGGAGAAAGCCACCAGGCCTCAGTTTCCCCACTTATAATTCAGGGAGGTGGGAAGGCAATTGAGAAGCCCAGTTCTGGGGTACCCTGGGCTGTCCTGCTTTCTGTCTCTGCTCCCCAGTCATCCTCTCTCCAAGGGCTGCCTGCAGAGCGGTAGCAGTAAAAAGCACTCCTGGCTCCTCCTTTCCCCCACAATTGGGAACAGACCTGTGATTACGGTCACCTGTGCTCTGGGGCGCACACCTGTTCCTGCAAGAGGCAGCACGAGGAACCAAGAAAGAGCCTAGATGCAGCGGGTGCTCTGTGGTTAAAAGGACCAGAGTGCTTGTCACGTCCAGGTGCACGTACTTGACAGGGAAGCTTTCTAAATAAAACCCTACAGCATGCCTGAGAGCTCAGAACTGCTGGCTGGAGAGCCGAGCTGGTCCTGAAGTCCTCAGAGTGCTGTGCCAGGGTGGAGGTTCACAGAGGGAGGCCAGGAGAGAAGGAAAGAAAGAAAAAGGAGAAGGGGAGAGGTGGAGGAAGTAGCTCCTGTTGAGGAAGGGGCACCGCGGAAGAAGAGAAAGGAACCAGCAAAGTCGGAGAACACAGTGACCCTGTCCCTCAGTGTGCGGACACAGACAGCACTGCAGATGTGACGGCTCACGCGGACGAAGGTCTGGGCTTTGCTTTGGGGCACTGTGCGGGAAGGGAGGCCCGGAGGAGACTGCTTGGTTAAGAGTGGGGGCTGTGAACCTGGGAATGAGGAGGTTGGCTTGTAGGAGTAGAGGAAGCAGAGGAGGATGGAGTCCAGGAGTGGCGGGGAGGGCAGGTGGGAGGCCAGGGCAGCTTAGGAGGATGAAGGAGGCTGGCTCTGTCCACCACCTCGCAACCCTTAGGCCCAGTTCGAAAGCGTGCCGAGTTCGGTCATCTGTGCACCTTCCCTGGCTACCAGCACAGATGCAGAAGATGAGGGGCCAGAATCACCTGGTGCCCAGCTATCCCAGCTCTAAGCCCTTCCTGAAATTCAGTGGACAGAAAGATGAAAGCCATGGCTTTGGGGTCGCTCAGAGTAACTCAGAGCCCACACAGACCATTCACCACAGCCACCTCGCTGCGGGGGAAGTGGGGACGGATGGTAGCAGCGGCTGTGTGAGCCTCTCCTTCCCTTAGTAGAGTCAAGGAAGCAGAAAGGCGACCAGACTTCACAAGCTTACTGACAGAAGTGAAGTCACCACTGCCATTTTGAAAGACAGGAAATACACTCAGCTCTGGCCCAACCACATACACACACCCCGCACCGCACTGGAAAGTGGGCGGCGCTGCATGGTTTCTCACCTGTCCCACCTGCAGGAAGGTGCTCCTGGCTGCCCGCATCCCCCCTTCCCTGCTGGCCTGGGGGCTCTGGGGCTCAGGCTGTGCTGTCCACCTGTGTTCGCCTGCAGACATCAATGCCCTGTCGTGCTCTGACCCTTGGGTGGTGGACGCTGTCATCTGGAATGAGCGTGGGCCTTGCGTGGCCTCCTCTGGCCAGGAGCCTCTGGCTGCGTCTTGCAAGTAGGAGGCAATGGAGCCTTCTGAATCCCAGTCTTGTGGTCTGAGTGCAGGATGGGGTCACACGGCCAGGGAGACAGAAAGGGCACCTGGTCACTTCTGGCTCGGCTTTTCCAGACAGCCCCCCTTCCAGGGCCCTGGCACCCTCCTTGTGCCCGTGCTCCCTCACACTCTGCATCGTATCTGTCAGCAAATCTTTCTGGTTTCTGTACTCAGCCCTTCCCACCTGCACTGCCTCCTGGTCTATGCCAGCAGCAGCCAGCCCTGCCTCCACCTGGCCATGCCAGGCTCTTTGCATAGCAGTTGCCAGATCCTGTTGTTTCTCTGCTCAGAACCTGCTCAGGAAATGCCATCCTCCTTTTGGGACCACGAGGCCTGACCTACCCGACCCTGTGAGCTCCCCGGCCTCACCTGCCTGCTCACCTCTGCCTGGTGCGGGCTGGGCCAGGCTACCCTCTTTCACCATGTCACTAGCTGGGCCCCTCCCCTTCACCTCCTTGGGTTTCGCTCAGGCCTGCACTGCCGCCCTCTGTGAGTCGCCCACACCCTCACATCCCTGTCTTCTACCGTCTCCTTTGTTTTGTTTCCTCTGAGCACTTGTCATTACCCAGGATCCCCTGGGTATCCAAGGGGATTGGCTTCAGGGCCCACATGGATGCCAAAATGCGTGGGTGTGCAAGTCCCTTACAGATGAGGTGTGATAGAAAATAGTGGCGACTGTTTACATTTTAAAAATTTACCACAGTAAAAGACGTCACTGTCCATCTCCCCCAAAGTACTCCCCTAGATTCAAATACAGTTAGCCATTCATTCTTGCCACTTTCTCTTCTGGAAACTCTGGAGTCCTCTTTTGTGAGTGTCTTTAGTTGCAATGTTGTGACCACGTGGGTGTCCTGTACTGATTCCAAACCTTTAACCTTCCTTGGTCATTTTAACCTGGGGAAAGAGCCAGAAGCCTCCCTGGGGTGGATCTGGTGAACGGGGCAGATGGAGGCACTGGGATGTTTGCAAGAGGCCATCTTTCCACTGGGTGGGCCTTGGCAGCAGTATCCACTGCAGTTCGATCACACTGCATAAAGACACTCAGAGAAGGGGCCTTCGCAACTGCTTCAGAGAGCGCAAGAGTGACAGGGTAAGTGTTCAAAGGAAAGGAGACTGCTGGGGGGTGAGGGACAGTGTGTCTTTAATTGTAATACATTTTTAAAAAGGAAACATTTTTCTTTCTTTTCCTTTTTTTTTGGTACTGGGGATCAAACTCGGGACCTTGCGCTTGCGAGGCAGGTGGCGGAAACACTGAGCTAAATCCCCGGCCCTAAAAATGTAAACATTTTTATGTATTTTGATCACAATTTGGAAAATGGTGTTATATTTGCCTTTAACCTGTGCACAACACCTTTTATACTTTAGACAAAACTTAGATGACTTGTAATAACAGACATAATGTAAATGTTAGGTAAGTAGTTGCAATACTGTATTATTTAGGAAATAGGAAAAAAGTCTGTTCATGTTTGGTATAGATTCTTTACGTAACACAATATTTTGGCTCCACGGCTGGATGAATCTGTAGATAGGAAATTCTTGGGCCAACTGTGCTTCAGATTTTATTTTTATATCATTAAGCTTATCTACAGCATGTGCTTCTTGTGGTCAGAGACTTTCGTCTGATTTTCTCCCTGACACCTTCTATCATCCAGACAGTTTTTTGGAGGTGCCTGATACATAGCAGTTGCTCAGTGAATGTTGTTTAGTGACAGAAATTTACCTGTCCACACTGGTTGGCTGTCTAAGCTCATGGAGCCAGGAAGCGACACAACTATGCCTAGAATTCAGGCCTTCTGGCTGTCAGTGACCCTGTGGTTTTAAGGCTGTAGTGGCTGCACACAGCAAGCATTTGCTAAATTTGTGGTGGAGGAAGGGCTGGGCTGTTGCAGTCACAGAAGGTGGCACCCATAGGCCTACCAATGTTCTACTTGGAGCCTTTGCAGCCTCTGTCTGTCCAACTGTCCCCACTGATCAAAGGATACAAACAGATCTCCCTCTCCCTCTCCCTCTGTCTCTGTCTCTCTCTTGGTGGTATGGGGCATTGCATCCAGGGCCTTTGCACTGAGTTACTCCTTACCTTTCTAAATTCTGAGATAGGATCTCACTAGTCTAGGCTTGAACTGGTGATCCTCCTGTCTCAGGCTCCCAGAGTGCTGGGATTCCAAGCACGTGCTAGCAGGCCCGCCTGGCTCAGACGCCATCTTTTAAATGACTTATCCTACTGTGGTCCACACTGAATAGCCCCTGGGGAAGACCTGGGCCTGAGGAGCATCAAGGACAGGAAGAGGAAATGAGGAAAGCTTCGCCTGACCTACTCTGTGCTCCACTCTGTTCGTGGTTACAGTTCTGGGGGTACATGAACCATATCCTGCCTACCAAGCAAAACAATATGGAGGAAGGGCCTCTGTCCTCCAAGTCCTGTGCCCGCCTGGGGAGGCCTAAGTGATATCCAGCTCACATTGGTCTCTTTCTTTGCCACTGCAAGGGACCATCTCACTGCTAAGCCCAGGCTTCACTCAATACAGTGCCGGGGACCGGGTGGAGCTGCTATTAGAACAGGGCGAGCTCACAGAGTCCAGGGTCTGCAGGGGGCAGTGGGCCTCGCTCTTGGACTGCCAGCTCTGATTCCCATCAGGCACAGGGCCTGCTTTCCCAGCCAGGCAGCTGGGAAAGAGGACAACGGTGCTTAACTGACAAAGGCTCTTTCCTGCCCAAAACCACCAGCCTCTCTCTCTCAGAAGTGCTAAGGAGAAAAACACAGAGGAGCCCACAACACTGCTATAGCAGTGCCATGAGCCGTGGCCTCCCCAAACCTCCGGACCTGTGTGCTGTCCTTTATCCATACCACTCGGCACCTCTCCTGCTGGCCACACCCAAGGAGCTGGCGGACTGCAGCTCCATTCTCACACATGCATGGTAGCTTCAGCGGCAAGCTGGCGCCACACCCTTTGAACAGCAGCCTCTCAGCATCTCCTCTGCGCTCACAGCAGGACACTCTTTCCTAGGAGCCCAGGAAGGCATGAGGGAGCTCTGCTACCGAGGACCAGCCCTTACCTGTCCTGGTTCCTCTCCAGCAACCGACTCACGGAGGGCGAGACTGTGGTTCGAGCTCGCACCCTCTGCTGGCCTGCAACAAGAGACACTTCATTCTCTGAGTCCTGTCCTGCACTTGCACAGTCCTCCTGCCTCTTCTCTTCTGACCTCTGACCTTCCTCCTGGCCAAGCAAATCTGCATGGCCATTTGTGGCATCTGAATCCACTGTGTCGTCCTCCACAAGGTCCAGAGAGCCGAGCTCGGGGCCCCGTGATTCCTCTGAGGGTGCCCCCTCCAACTTCCACTCTTGTGTGGCGTCAGAGTCCTCAGCCTTGCTGCACTCCAGAGAGGAGTCCTCAGCAGTGACCAGGGAGGGCGTGAGGCCCGCAGACCACACCTGCATGTCAGACATCTCCAGCATGGCATCATGCTCCTTGGTGGCCAGGGGCATGGCGTCTATGACGGCCACCTCGTTCCAGTACTGGTCCCCGTGCAGTGGAGGGGGAAGCGCGTAGTGCAGGGAGGCAGGGGACAGCAGCTCGTCCTGCAGCGAGGAGTAACCTGGATGGGCAGACAGAGGGCAACATGCTCCAGAAGCGATTTTTGTCACCCATGCTCACATGCAGGCACACACACACACACGCACACGCACACGCACACACACACACACACGCACAGCCACAGAAATGCATGCACATTCGGGCAGGGGCTTTCCAAGCTCTAAGTCCAAAGCTCAGGCCTTGTGGCTGCTGCCCAAGACACCGGGGCAAGAGAAACAAGGCTCTGAGCTGGGTAGGGGCAGCCAGGGAGGAGGGCAGAGAGGTGGGGGTGCCTTCACTGGATGGCAAAGAAAAGAAATTAGAATTCTTTCTTCTCCAGCTCAGAGCACCAGATAAAGAAGGCTTTATCCAAAGGACGTGGACTCCGATCGACCTGATTAGAGGGAAGCCCCACTTCTCCATGGCTGGGCAGGAAGAGGAAATGTTCTCTTTCTTTGCTCAAAACTTCACGTTACCACATTGTTTAGGGTCCTGTTGGGGATGTACCTTGATGGGAGAGTGCAGCGCCCACCCAGGACCAGGGTCAGTAACCGGGCTGCCCTGGAGGGGTCTAATGGGGTACACTGAACAGCCACAGACCTCAGTGCGGTGGTCAAATGGGAAACAGGCTTCTGGGTTTGGCAGGAAGTGACTTTTCCTCAAGTTGCATATTGGTTCCAGAAACAATGATCTACAGTGGCACAGGTGAGGGTTCTAGGGTTCAAAAATGGGGGCAAGGTCAGAGGGCAACATGAGCCCAGGCACACCTGCCTGCAGCTCCCTGCTCTGGGTCAGCAGGGACTTGCTGGGATCAGGCCCGTGGTCGCAGTGGCCCGTCCACGCCTGTGCCCTGTGGACTGGCTCGGATGTGCGTCCCCGCCCATGCTCTGGTTGCTGTGATACTGGCTTCCTGGTGTTCTGGGTGACTGTGGGGTTGAGGGGATGTGAGCGTGGGTGGAGTGGACGCCAGGGCTGCAGCAGGGCTCCTAGGCTCCTGTTCAGAGCAGGTGCTGACTGGTTGGGAGAACAGACTCCCAGACAAGGGTCTCCCTTTGGCACAGCTTATCTGGGGAGCAGACAAAGGCGGTTGCTGGAATGGGCCAGGGTACCCTGCAGTCTCTAGGGAACTTTCTCTTGGCTAAAGAGGCCCTCGGTCTGGTGTCAAACTCTTCGACCTGCCAGTTGTCTCCACCCCTAGCAAGGAGGCCTCCTCTGTCCCCCAGCTCATCCCCTGGCTCGCAGCCCTGAGCCTCAAAAGCGCCTGCTCACCCTCATCCCCACTTCTGACAACACCATCTCCTCCTCAGTCACCTACTTCTCACCCAGAAAACATTCACTGATGTCCAATTCCCTGCCAGGCACTGTGCTGAGAGGTTGGGGATCACAAACACAAACCCAACAGAACACAGATCTGTCTCTCCTTGCCCTCTTTTTATGACATTTTCCTGTCGACTACAGCTCACCACATTTGACCTATACCCTTCACTGAGATGGTTCACTGGGAACCCACCATCCTTGGTGACTACCACAGGGCTCTCAGGATTTGTGGGGACACAGCAGGAAGTTCAGATGACTCCACTAGGAAAGGGGCCACTGTAGCCAGCATCCACTGGTGTGCCCACCGTGCCAGGAACTAGCCATGTGCCCCACAGGCCTTCTCTGTCCAACTTTCCCAGCAGACCGGAGCCTCAGGGTCTCCAGGCACCAAATCGGGGGGACTAGCTTATTGTCTTGGCCCTCAACTGGCAGCCACTGAAATGTTCCTCGGCAGGGAAACAGATACACACCCTCGGGCACATCCCTCAGCAGGACATAGCTCAGGACAAACACAAACCATGGATGTGTACAACAGCGTGAATGAAGCCCCGATAATCATGCTGAGAGAAAGGAGCCAGACAAAGAGGGAGCACGGTCCTCATTCCATTTACGTAAAATTCTAGGGTTGTGACCGGGGGTCAGCTGTGCAGTGGTCCAGTCTAAAGGAAGCCCCTTCTGTTTCTGGCCAGACTAGGAGGAGTGAGGAGAAAGGGCTGGGTCCAGTTGGACTCCACGACTCCAAGTCACCAAGTGTGAGGATCTAACCCAAGAAACCAGGAACCAGGGTGATGGCGCCTCCCAGCTTTGTCTAGAACGCTGGAGTCACATGTCTGCTATTCTTACGATTAACCTATCTGCATCATCTACTGAGCATCTATTTAGTGCAAAATATATCCAACACATTTTTAATTGTCAGAACACTCCTCCGAGGGAAGTAATATTATTCCTTCTTTTTGAATTAGAAACTAAGTTTAGCAATTTAAGGTTACACAAGTGCAAAAATGTTACACAAAACTTTTTTTTTTACAGGAGTTGGCCATTGATGTTTTAAAAATAGCTTTACTGAGGCGCTAAAGGTGCACAAAGCCACCACCACAATGAAGACAAATACATCCATCAGCCCAAATGCCTTCCTCAAGCTTCTCTGGAATCTCCGCTCTCCCTCTACCACGCAGCCCTAATGGGTCGCACCCAGGCAGTCACTAGCCTGCTCTGGCCACTGTGCATTGGTCTGCAGCTCTACGCAGTGGCAGTACTGCGGCCGGTGGGGTTCATCCAGGGCATAATTACCGCGAACTGGGAAATACTAGCTTGCGTTTCCTAGACTTTCGGGTAAGTGGAACCATGTGGTCCATACTCATTTCATCCAACTTCTTTCACTCACCATGATCACTGAGGCTTCATCCAGGCTGGTGCCTGCATCAGGGACTCGTGTTTGTCTTGAGCCTCGTCCTGGTGGTTGGATGTGCAGAGTTCGTGTATCTACGTGTTGGTGGGCGTTTGGGTGCTGACAGGTTGGGGCTCTTAGACATAAAGTTGCTAGTGTGCACGGACACATGCTTTCTTCTCTCTTGGGTAAATACCTAGGCCTGGGATGGTTGGATTATATGGTACTGGGGATTGAACTCGGGTCCTTGAGCTTGCAAGGCAGGCCACCAAACCACTGAGCTAAATCCCCGGCCCTATGTTTAACTTTTTAAGAAAGGATCAAAGTATATTTTTATTCCAAGTGGTTGTACCATTTTACATTTCCACTAGCACTGCATGAAAAATTCCAATTCTCTCATATTCTCATTAACACTTGGTATGGTCAGTCTTTTTAATTTTAGCCTTTCTTATAGGTATGTGGTAGTATCTCCTTATGGTTTTGATTTGTATTTCCCCAATGACTAATTATGTCGAGCACATTCTTATATTCTTGTATGCCGTATATATATATTCTGGGTTAAGTGTTTAAATCTTCCACCCAGTCTAAAAATTGGGTTGTTTTCTTATTATCGAGTTGTAAAGATTCTTTATATATTATGCATACATCCTATATCAGATGACAGTTGTCGATATCTTCTTCTAGTCTGTAGCTTGTTTTGTCATTTCTTAGCAGTATGTTTTGAAGAGCAGAAGTTTTTCATTTTGATGACGTTCAATTTATTAATTTATGGGTTATGCTTTTGGTGTTATATTTAAGAAATCTTTTTCTTATTCAAGATTTCTAGGTTTTTTCACATTTTCTTCTAGAGTTTTACAGTATTAGATTTTACATGTAATCTATGATCTATCTTGAGTTAATTTTTGCATATAGTGCAAGGAATGAGACCAAGTTCATTTTAGTTTAGATTTTTGGCATAAATGTTTATGAGGAATATTGGTATGTAATTTCTTTTTTCCTATAATGTCTTTAATATTAGGGTAATGCTGGTCTTGTTAGTTGGAAAGTGATACCTCATTTTAAAATTTCTAAATTAATTATTTTGTCAACAAATATTTGGTAGAATTCACTAGTAAAGAAGCCATATGGGCCTGGACTTGTATTCATGGGAATGCTTTAAACTATACATTTAATGTTTAATTTATATGAGGCTACTAAGTTAATCTATTTATTCCTAAGTAAGCTTTGATAGTTTATGTCTTTCAAAAAAACTTAATTTCATGTATGTTCAAAATTTTTTGGCATAAAATTGTCATAATATTCCCTTATCAACCTACCCGTGGGGTCTGTAGTGATATCATACTCTCTTGTATTCTTAACATGAATCAATTTTATCTTCTTTTCTGGTCAGTCTGCCTGGGGGGTGTATCAGTTTTGTTTTTTCTTTTTTTTTTTTTTTTTTTTTTTTTTTTTTCTTGGCGTTGGACCCTGGTCCTCACTTCACATTTTTTTTTTTTTTTTTTTTTTTTTTTTTTTTGGTACTGGGGATTGAACTCAGGTCCTTGCACTTGCAAAGCAGGCACCAGAACCACTGAGCTCAATCCTCAGCCCATGTATCAGTTAACAATCTTTTCAAAGCCTTGGTTTTTGGTCTTGGGGTTTTTCTTTCTATTTTACTGACTTCATGTCTGATTTTCATTATTTCTTTTCTCCTATTTACTTTCAGCTTAATTTGATGTGTCACCAATTTTTTTTAAAGGTGGAAGATGAGATCATTAGTCGGAGAACTGTTTTCTTTTTTAATATAGGCAGTTTGTGCTTTGAATTTCTCCCTAATTATCATTGTTATAGTATCCCATAAATTTTGATGTATTGTCTTTAATTACTCAGTTCAAAATATTGTGTCTTCATGTTGATGTTGTTTTTTCTCTTAATCTTTTTAAAAAATACTTGCCGTTGTTGGGGATGGAGCTGAGGGTGTCACACATTACTAGGTGAGTACTCTGGCATGGTACCACATCTCCAGCACTGTTCTCTGTCATTGGTAAAGATGTGGTTTACTTGAAATCCATGGCCTTCTTGCTTGTATTGCTTCCAGTAAGACATCTGCTCCATCCTTAGTTTCATTCCCTTGCTCAGAACACATTTTTCTCTCTGACGTTTTCCAGGTTGTCTTTTTACCCCTGGTTTTGGCAGGCTGGCTCACGAAGCACCACAGTGTAGCTGCTTCCTGTGCATGGCATTTGTGGTATTTGTTGGATCGATGCATTTGTGATCTTCGTGGCGGAAAACTTTCAGCCTTTATTTCTTCAAATACTTTTTCTACCTTCTTCTTTGTAGGGAACTAATTTTTTATATATACTTGGTCTCCTGAAATTGCACTATAGCTCACTGATACTTTCTAATTTTTTTCTTTTCTTTATTTCATTTTTGGAGAATTCCAAGTGCTATATTGTAAAGTTCACCACTTTTTTCTGCTGCAATATCTGATCTCATCCCTTAGATTTTTCATCCTACACATCACGATTTCATCTCTGGAAGATCAGCTTAGTTTTTTGAAAAATGTCTTCCATGTCACTACTTAACTTTTTGAACATGTGAAGTACTGGATTTACTACCCTTGTCTGCTCCTTTTAACACTTGAATCAGTTCTGGGTTAGTTTCAATTGATTGCTTTTTCTCCCCTGTCTGACTATTAGAATTATCTGGTTAATAATCAGCTGAAACTTGCACAGGTCTCCAGAATTCTCTGCCTGTGCTGCTGTCTCCTCTCTGGCCCTGTGTCTTGGGAAGTCTAGCTCTCTTATTCTTCTTGGACTCTCAGCAACTTCTCAACAATTTGCCTGGGTTTCCCTAGGAACTCTGTGAAGGCAAAAATCTAGGCAGTCAGAAGACTCACCTCATTTATTTTCCATGCCTCATGGCCCACTGTCCTTTGCTGCCTGATATCCAATGTCTTGGAAGCTCTAGTTCATGCATTTTGTCCATTTTTTAGTTTCTCCAAGCAGGAGGGCATATCTAGTCCCTACTACCCTGTCTTGGCCAGAAGGAGCATTTGATATAAATAGCCACTCAAATATGGCAGATGACCATCTGTCACTCCTGGGACTCCTGGCAAGGCTTGAGTCCATGTGAGTGTGTGGTCTTCTTTGTTATCTTTTGAAGTTTTCCACCTTGAGCCTTCTATATATCCACTCTCACGGAATTCGCCCAAATGGAAGTATGTGGGAGAACACGTGCACGGCCTCTGTCAGAATCCCTGCTGTGACCACCCCACAGCCTTCTTCTGGTAACAGCCTTTAGGGAATGTGGCTGCTGCTTCTCCGTATCTAGAGGATGTCAGCTGCTCAGTGACTTCAGGGTGGAGGCGCTCAGGAGCTGCAGTCCTGGTGCTGGTGGACATTCTGTTGACTTGGAGGATGATCTCTGTAGCTCAAGGTGTTCTCATGAGGAACATCTCTCATGGTCTGGGGTGGACCAGACTACAATGAGAGCTACTGAGTGCCCTGAGCTGAGCTGTTGAAATGTCTGTTTCTTTATCCTGAGTGTGGCCAATCGTGCCAAATCTAGGAAGCTGAGCAGTGTCAGGCCTGGTTAGCACTCGGATAGAAGTGTCTATCTCTAGGACCCTTATTAAGCCCTGTCACACTTGGGTCACCAGCCCATCTCTAAGTAGAGGGGTCTCTCATTTGGGGTTAGAGGCTGAGGAAATCAGGTGAAAGGCTGGGGGCAGAATATAGTCAGGCCATCCCTCCTCCTTTCACTACATAAAATAATTATCCTACTAGCTTAATATCAGTAGCAAACAGAAGGGATGGACAGGTAGTCTGGCCTCAGAAAGCCATACTTTCCTAGCTGTGTTCATTAAGAATTGATGTAAGTAAAGTACATTGTGTTCCCAAGTAGACGTTATTACAATTCATTAGACCAAACAGAGCTGACAATGGTTCAAGATAACCATTTTATCCCTCTCATATGAGAAATTTGTTTAAGTTTTAGGACGCTTTTTTTTTTTTGGCCTAATAAGCAGTTTTTTCTTGATGTCTCTTCCACAGGCCTGGGTAGTCCTCTCTTACCAGGAGAAGCTGATTGGACTTTTGACTCAATACCCTTTGTATGACTGTGTGGTAAGAAGAATGCCAGGGGGAGGGAAGAGCCCAACTTCCTGACACCAGCTGGTTCCTCAGACTCTCAGGACGTAAGCAACTAATTCCTTCAGAAGTAGGCCTAGACTAGCAGAGAAATGAGGTGTAGTTTGAAGGAGCCAGGTGACAGTGGTGCTGGCCATCAGTGCACAGAACTGGCGGTCACCAGGACAAGCTTCATGGGAACCTGCCCAGCACAGAGTGGCAACAGCACCGGAGGTTGGTGTACCCCTGCCTTGGCCTTTGAGCCCTCTCGCACCCTTCCTTCTAGACCAGATGTGGGACACATCTCAGGACGGGGACGAGGGTAGGGAAAGGTATAGAAGCCGATTTTGATGTTTAGAAAGTGGAGGGTGCTGAGCTGGGCATCTGTTGGCAAATGTCTGCTCAGGCCTCAGAAAGGTGTGTAAGGGCAGCAACCCCAGGCCACTAGGAAACCTGCTGGGTAGGGCTTCTGGGGGTGACAGCCACACAAGGGAGCTAGGAAGGACAGACACACTCACGGAGTGGCCTCTCAAACCAGCCTAGCAGGGTGAGGAGCCTTTCGGAAACCTAGATCATATCATTCTTTTACCCAACATCCAGTGGACAAAAATCAGCGTCCTTGTGACAGGTTCTAGGGCTGGTGCCTTCGTCTCCCGGCTCCCTGTCCCTCACTGTTCTGTGAGGAAGCAGGCACAGCGCCCTGCTGCTCACCTGGAACGCTCCTTCATCTCCTTCACATCTTTGTTCAGATGCACCCACCTCACCACGCTCTGTAAGCCCCAGCCCTGGAATTTCCCCACACCGTCATGGTGACCGGCCAGCCCATGGCACGATTCCCTCACTTACTGTCTAAGAGCCACTGACAGGCTCTCCCGATAGAAGGAGGAGTTTTGTTTTGTTTTGTTGTCTCCTTGAGATCTAACTTCCCTCTTCCACCTAGAACAGTGCCTGGCAGGTCGTTGATGCCTGGAAAATATTTGCCAAATGAGCTGAGCCACTGTGGCAGAGCCCTTTCCGCCAGGCGCGGAGCACATGGAGACCCAGGCCCTCAGGGATTGTGTGTCCCGTGGAGACTGTTCCTGTTCAGACTCTAATAGCCTGTTATCTCGGTAGGCACCTACTCAGGGAACAAACATCCAAACGCCCACAGATAAGACTTGATTGAAATATCACAGGGGATACCGGGAGGCCCATGTTCCATAGAGAGGAACCAATATTTTGTCACTTGGGTGTCCTGAAGTTCGCCAAATTTCTCAGCTATCTTTTCTCTCTGGGGAAAAGAGCTGGCCTACTCGGGTACCTGCGGTGTTGCAATCAGGTCCCCAGGAAAGTGGCTGTGGTCCCAGGGTGGGATCCCTGTCCAGTGCACCTGGACAGTGAGTGTGGCACACAGTCAGCAGTCATGATGAGGCAACACAGACAACACGCCATGCACACGCGCGCACACACAGATGTCCACAGAGAAGTCCAGGAGGCGTGTGGGGGCCAGGGTCCTTCATGACATGCATCTGTGGGGACGGACAGCTCTCGTACACTGGGCCGGTGGGGACAGTGGGGACAGGAAGTGAGAGGGGATGGGGGACACGAGGTCAGGATGAGGTCAGAGGCAGAAGAGAGGCCACAGGACACCAGCAGAGGATGAGCCCGGTACGGGGGCACTGGATGGCACGTTCAGGACACAGGTCACGAAGAGAACAGCGAGGGAGCCCCGTGGGGCGTGCACATGGCCGGAGCAGCGGGGTGTGGGGAACACCGGCCGCCCAGCAGCTCTCCAGGGCGTAACTGCACAGTTAGTGTTTTTCAAATTCTGTAAGAGATTTGGGGATCCGATTTTGAAGACAATGGCTCAGCCACACAGGAGGTTGGCAGAAAGGAAGGGCCGGAAGCCAGACTGGCTTCCATGTGCAGGGCCAAGATGAAATGGTCCCTGCTCTGTGTCCCGGGCTACAGAGGGTGACACAGGGGAGGGCATGGGAGCCCCAGGCTCTGCTCCACCACAGCGGTGCCACTGAGAGGCTGAGGCAGGGACACTAGTTGGGCCGCTGATACTTCAGCCTCCTTGGGGCTGTCACACTGGGGCTCCTTGCCATGCTGAGCCACAGCAGGAAGAGTAAGGAAGATGGATGAAAAAGGGGGGCAGGGGGCGGGAGAGGGCAAGAGAGGGAGAAAGGAGAGAGAGACAGACAGACAGACTGCACTCAAAGGAGACCACTTAGCCTCTAAAAGGGGCCACAGTGGGACTTTTTAAAACACTACCAGCTAATCCACATGAGATGCTGGGCCTTGTCCCTAACCATCGAATGTTCTACACAGAGATATCCACGCCCAGGGAGGGCCCACATTTTGTGAAAAGTGACACAGAACATCCGCAGATCGCAGGGACAAGAGTCTGCCTAGTAGCTCCCTGGACTCCAGCTCCTTCCCACCACAGCAGGCCTGCTGGGACCCAGGTGCACTGGTGACAGGTGGGGGCCATTCTGCGCTGGCCACACCCACACAGGTGTCACACCTGTCTCGCCTCTGCCCTTGCTGCGAGGAGGAGCTCACCACAGGCCAACCCAGCCTCCCACCCACCTGAGGCAGAGAGGGTCTCAGGGACGGAACGCTGTGGGAAGGGGCCCCCACCCAGCCTCACCTCTGCCCAGGGAAACTCACCATTCATCTGAGAGGGCGACAGTGAGTAGTCCCGCTCGGCCTGGCGCCCGTCTGGCTTGAGGTGGCGGCTCTGTCTGCTGGAGCCTTCCAGCATATTCACGATCTCACTGCGGTCGATGTTGCGCAGGGCTGCGTACAGGTTTTCCACTGTTGGGAGGGAAGGAGAGGTGCTCGAGGGGTGGAGGTGAGTGATTCTAGGGCCCCAGGCAGTGCTGTGCAGACCTGCAGGTAGGGCCAGGAGCAGGGAGGGAAAGGTTTTCTGAAGGTGGAACCACCCTTCTGTCATCATCAAATTCCGATGCAGAATTTTTTCTTATTTACAACAGGTCTGTCCCATAAAATAACAGTGTCTTTTTTGTTGGTTTGTTTTTTGGTGGTGCTGGGATGAAACCCAGGCCTTGCACATGCAAGAATTCTACACTGAGCTACATCCCCAGTCCCTCAGTGGCCAATTTAAAAGTACAGAAAGGCTGGTAGGTTTTTGTTTATTTGTTTATAAAGCAAGAAGAATACTGCAAGCAAAAGCAGATGAGAATGGATGCTGTTTTTTCGCAATTCTGGGTCCTTGCCAGTTGATTTCTGATGTGAATGTGAACACTGGACTTCCTCTCTGGTAAGGAGACTCTGGAAAGAGCCAGACCAACCTTCCTCCAGGTCAGGAAAATGCCCTTGGGACAACAGGAACCACTCAGGCTGGGGTTTGGCCCTGAGATGCCAACACTTGTGTGGCTGGGAAATCGAACAGGAAGAGCTGGAAGACGAGAGACCTAATCCCAGCTACACATTGCCCTGCAGGGCATGGACAGTTTCCTCCTTATTCCAAGGAGGCAGAGAGGATGAGGTTAAGATTTGCCGGTCATGGGAATGTGTTCCGGGGGAACTGCTGACCAGAAGTGCGGCGTGTGTGAGAGAGGGTGAGGGCGGTGGAGACTCCCAAGGCCAACACCACAGAAGAGATTTAAAGGAAGGACTGCTCTGGCGCCACTCAGGTCTTAGCCCGCCTGGAAAGAGGGTCTCTCAGCTGGAAGGTACTGACTTTTTGCATTTTCGCCTTCCCGGGCAGCCCAGAGGCTCAGCAAGGCCGCGCTCTGCTCCCACAAGGAGTTGGGGTTTTCCACTCGGATCCTGTTGATTTCCTCCACGCTGAACTGCAGCTCCCGGGCCAGTTCTGCAAGTGAAGAACCAAGAGTGGGGTCAGCACCAGGTCAGAGCAGCTTCCCCTTCCGGGGGGCGGGTGTGCGCCTTTGTGTCCCTCAGAACCCACCGGGGCGGGCTCGCGGGAAGGCAGCAGAGAATGGCTGAACCAAGGACTGGACAGACACCCTTTCCCTTTCTCTTGGCTCCTAACCTGAACAGATGAGGATGAGCCCCTCGGCAAGGCCAGCAGCCTCTCCACGCCCCGGCAAGTTAGTCCTGGAGCTGGGAAGGGGCTGAGGCCGCTGGTCCCTAGGTAACACCGCCTCCTTCAGGCACAGGTGGGCACAAGCCACCAGGGGAGGGCGGGCTGCCATTTACAAGAAATTTGGTTTCCTCTGAATGTAAGGCAGAAGCACAGGTGGTTGGGATTTAGAAGGAAGAGAGCCTTGGAGTGACTTCAAGGAAAGGAAGCCCAAAGAGAAAGTGCGTCAGAACACGCGTGTACAGCACACGCAAATGTGCACCGCACATACACACACGAGCAGAGGCCCCCCCTGCCGTGAACACACGCACAACACAGAGTGCACACACGCACAAGTGTGTACACACACACACCTCAAGAGGCAGGAGAATTTTTTTTTTTGTTTACCAGGGAACTTAGGATCGAACTTGGGACCTTGTGTTTGCAAGGCAGGCAGCGTCACCACTAAGCTAAATCCCCAGCCCGAGGAGCACCATTTAAAGCACAGTCCCTGAGCTTCTGCGTCCCCACGGCACAGCTTTTCGGCAAGTTTCTGCTAAGGTTTCTGAGTTTGCCTAAAGTGCAGTGCAGGGTGTGTGAGTGAGAGCAGGGAGTCCATTCGTATGAAAGCTAGCAAACAAACACAGAACAAAGGAGACAGTGGAGCTGTAGAGGCCGAGGCTGCCCGGAACCCATGAGCCCCTTGAGGTCAGATGTGCCCACCAGTGCAGAAATGAAACACGCCAGCTGGGACCTGCCGGGACAGGCACTGCCCAGAGTGGGCAGATAGTGTAGAGGTCGGGAGGCACAGTTTTGCTGAACCATTTGGGCTTCTGGGTTCTGTTTAGCTACCTAAACAATCAAGTCATTGTACTGAGCTGTATCCTCGTTTTCCCCTCTGTGAAACAAGCTCATTCCTATCAGAGGCCTCCAGGAAGGTGCAGCTGATTCTTTCTTCCACAGGAAGCCAGAGAGATGCTGAAGGGTGGCACACTGCTTTCCATGGCACTTGGCAGTGCAACTTTGCAAACAACTTGCCCCAGACAATCACAAACCAGACACACAGTGGACACTGGAAATGCTGTACCCACTGCTTCTCATGGGGGAGATGCAGGGTCTGTACACCGGGGCCTTTCTGCCCCATCCCAACTCACCTGCCCAGCTGAGGCCAAGGTGCTCTGTTATGATGGCCACCTTCAGGTCGGCTCCGTCTGTGCCGCTGGGGAAACCTGCGGGGACGGACATCTCACTGAGCAGCCCCGCGGGCACAGATCTGCTAGGTGTGGGCGAGCACTCGGGTCACACTGGGTGGCACTGACTAGAGGGGCGGTGGAGACCAAGTCCCAGGCTCTACTCGCAGTGGGCAGGGCAGGCTCAGGAGACGGCGTCCCCAGTGAAGCCCTGCCAGGCATGGGACGAGGGCGCCACCCAGCCTCCTCATGGGAAGCACTGCATCACCACAGGGCGCCTACCGAGTGCCGACTCGCTGAGCACGCTGTACCGGAGGGTCAGGGGTGTCGGGGTCCTCCTCCTGTCCTCCGCTCCGGTCCCCTGTGGAGGGAAGGCAAGGGACAGGGTGCCTTGAGTATGGGGGTCCCCTTTTCTGGAGAAGGCGGTCTGAGTGCTTATGTGTGGGCAGGTGAAGGGTGCCCGGTCCTGTGGACAGGAAGCGGCTGTTTCTCTGGAGCCTCAGTGCAGAGTGGAAGTACAGGAGGGACAGGAAGCTGATGAAAGTCAAACTTTATCAGTGAGAGCCAGCTCACACCGATACGTACTACTGCTATTCCCATTTCAGCCGCAAGGAAACCGAGGCAGCGACAGTTCAAAAACATGCCTGAGGTCACCCAGTGACCAAGCAGTGAACCGGGGATTTGAACATCAAACTGTTTCTCTTGTTGGATCCCTCTCCTTTCACCAGACCCATTTCTTTTTTCGGTACTGAGGATCGAACTCAGGACCTTGTGCTTACAAGGCAGGCGGTGGAACCACCGAGCTACATCCCTGGCCCTCACCAGAACCCTTTCTGATGCTGCCCTGGGGCATTACGCTGGGTCATTTTTTGTTTGAGGTTGCGGGAAACGGCTTTTGAGAGAAAAGTAGGTTCCCTTCCTCCCTAGAAAGAGAAAGAATTGTGCCATGGACATATGAATGTGGCCTTGCTTCTTCTCTAGATCAGCATGAAAGGCTGATGAGTAAAACAGCAACAGCAGCAGCACAACACCAACGGAATGCACGGACACTCCGGAGATACACGAGCACTTTTGGGCCCTGGCGTAGGTGGACGTGTACCTCACAGGTACGGATACGTGAACATACTTGGTCAAGGCTCCTTGGCTGAGCTCAGAGCCCTGGCTGTTTGCGGTGGCTGAGGACACCATGATTCCCTTCTTTGAGGGCCTAGCACCCTGGGGAAGATAAGCAAGTAAATGACAAAGAGACTGGATCACAGCTTTCCTATAGCTGGTGACCTGGAGCAACGGGCACTGTGCTTTATGTCACATGACCAAGCCGGCGTGCTGTGAAGAAAGGGCGGGGAAGCTCAGACAAGTGACCGGCATGGAGCCCTGTGAAGTGCTCGTGCTGGGCTCTGCCCACCTCTGGCCTGGGGGACTTGGACAGCGGCTTACCTTGCTCCAGGGGGGCATGGCGACGTTCAGGTGGCAGAGGATGTGCTGGGTGTCCTCGTACTTCATTGCTTTTCGCAGGAAGGACAGGAACCCTGCTGGCTCCCGACTGCTGTCCCTCACCTAGACGCAGTCACACAGAGGGAGACTCAGCAGGCGTGGCTGTGGCCAGCAGGCAGGCAGGCTTACAGATTTCTGCCTCCCAAACTTCCCGGACCCGGAGGGGAGGTCGGCAGGAGGCGGCAGCACCTTCACAGGGATGGCCAGGCGGTTCTCCCGAAAGGACTGGAACTGGAAGCTTCGCTGCTGGGCAGCCCTTCTGACGGGCACCAGGTTCCCAGAAAGTTCTGCAAACAGGGGTGTCCCTTCCAGAACCTGGAGGGCAGGGAGGCAGACACAGCCCGTCACATGGAGGGCCTGGTGCTCCGCTTGCAGCATCTGGCTTCCCTCCCCGGCCAGGCCCTTGTCCCAGCCTGAAATTCAGGACGTGCTCCTAGGACCCACTGTCCGGAGAAGCTTCCTGCCTTAGGCACGCTGGTGAGTGAGGCGAGCTTCCTGGCTCCACCGGAGTTCAGGATGAGCAAGCGCTTCCTAAGCTGCTGGGCACAGAGGGGCTGTTACCAAGTACTCTGGAACACCTCAAGGACATCATGATCGGCTTCTGAAAAGCTCTGGGCCTGTTTTTACATCTGCCAGAGGTGTTTAGCCCATGAGCAGACCATTCTAGAAAGACCACACCATGTTTTAATCTGTACGTAAACCAGTGCGGTCTCAGGGTCCCATCTGACCACTGAGAAAATGAAGCTCAGAGCACATGACTGCTGGGCCCAGTGAGCACCGACTCAGCATCAGAGCCAGGGTACCGAAGTCCCCACACTGAGCTTCTGACAGTGGCCCTCCACGTCCCCAGGGGGTTGGCTCACCACGCGTCTTCACAGGAGATATCCGGGGTCAGCAGTGTGGTCACAGCTGTCCTCGTCCCTCGATACCTCCCATCACGGCCCCCCAGTGCCCTTGCTTCCTCAGCTACCAAAGCCTAGCACTGAGCCACTGGGACATCCCGTCTCCACCCTTTACTCTGCTGGGTGACTTGGGCAAGTTGCCTAACCTTGCCTCCTTCCCTCAGCTGCCTGCCATGTGAGTCAGGGATGTTAAAGGTACCCACAGATATAGGAATCAGTCAAAAGTAGGAAATCACTCCAGGAACTGCCCACTGTTATTGTCACCAGTCACCAGCCAGCTAACGGCTGCCTCCCCGGGGTGCACATGGCTGGGTCCCTGTGTCAGTGAGTGACAGCTAATCTGAGATGCCCTTTAAGACAGAGAGCTTGTCCCCTGCTCAGAGGACTTCCCGCCAGCCCCGGCCATCACAGCCCCCAGAGTGGCAGGGAGAGCCCCACCCTAGCTCTGGGGCCGGGTTGCTGGTGTGAGGTGAGGGAGGCCCGTGAGAGTCCGATGAGAGAGGGACCCAGGGGCTGCACCTCTATGTCTCTGCTCCGGGCCACCTCCACGAAGTTCTCGTGCTGTTCCAGGGTCTTGTCCACCTTGTCATCTGTCATGCAGTAGCACCGTAGCCGCCCTTCCCTGGGGTCGCTCATCTTGGCGAAAATGACAAACTTGGCCATGTAGGGCACCGCGGTCAGCTCCTTGTACAACAGAGTGGCGAAGTTCACAGCCTCTGCAGTCCTTGGACAATCTGACAGCCAAAACCTGGAATGAGAGCTTGAGTAACAAGCATGCTCCTGGGTGATGATGGAGGGCCTGGCTCATCTGGTCGGGGTGGTCTGGGAGCCACACAGCGGCCACTCGGCCATCCCTCATGGCCAGGGGACATAGAAGGAGCTCCAGCCCGGACGGTGCTCAGGCCAGGGCCTAAGGGTCACTGGTGGCGGCTCTGGGCCTCCTCTACCTGGCGGAGACGTTGGTGGTGAAGTCGGCACACTCGTTGGCGTACACAAGCTTGGTCGTTCCCGTGATATCTTCCCACTGGGCTTGGTCAGTTCCACCTGCAACAGCAGCAGAAGTGGGGCTGGGGATGCTCTTCTGGCCTCACCATGGAGCTCACCAAAGTACCCAGGCCCCGTACTTGAGGGCAGAGATGGCGCATCTGGGTGAGGCTTGGTTTACAGCCCAAGCACACCACCCTCTCAAAATCTGACCCTCTTCCCAGCAACTGGCAGCACCCTTCTCCAGGGTGCAGCAGGCCCTTCAGGACTCTAACTCAGACGTGCCACTGCTCTGTCTGGAAGCACATGTCACACCAGAGAACCAGCAAAACCCAAGTGGTTCCTGTCCCCTGCAGTATGTCCCAGGAGGAGCTGCCGCCGCAGAGAAAGTGAGACAGGCCCAGGGACGCCTCACCAATGACACTGCAGAGCAGGCGCAGGCTGGTGGTGTCTCCCTCCCCGTTGTCTCTGGGGTTGTCTGTCCATGAAGGAGGCAGTGGGATCCGAAGTCCGATGGGACGGTGGAATTTCCGGCGCCGTGGTTCCACAGTGACAATGGGGCTGAACGTGGCCTGGTTGCCCAGGAGCTTGGTGACCAGCTCGTCTGGGACAGGCTGGGCCTGTGTGGTGCCAAAGGGAGAGGAGGGGCTGGTCAGACAGACAGCTGGGTGCCTCCAACAAGGCCAAAGCCTCCACGTCCACCATGTCCAGCGCAGGGCCCCTGGGGCTGACAGCACCACTCCGCTCTGCACCGTGCTCTGCAGCAGAACTGGCAGTGTGGCTTGACGCATGCTGTGGGGTTTTCCTGGACTTCACGGGTAACAGCTGCCTCGTCCCTTCCACCCACCTTTCTCCCTCGAGCTCCCTCCGGTGGAATTCTGAGGCCCTGACGGAAGTGGATGTTCCAGGGAGGAGGGTGGTCTTTATGGGGGACTTAAGTGACTCCTGCCCTCCGGGACCTAGAGGGGCAGGAGCTGTCACCTGCAGAGCCAGCTTCACTTTCTTGGTGACGGCATTTTCAGGGAACATTGCCTGCACCAGGGGCACCAGCTTGCTCTTCAGAGAGCCGCCCTCGGGCCCGATGGTGTCGAAGTCCTGGCAGAGCCGAGACATGATCACGAAGTACAAGGGGAAGTCGGTGGTGATGATGCGACAGACCCTCTTCTTCTCCAGCTCCTCCAGGCTCCCCAGCTCTGGAAGCACGAGGCAGCGTGGCCCACACTGTCACGCCGAGCTCAGGCTCAGCCCCAGCCGGCCCAGGGACACTGCTCCCCCACCCCGGGGCCACTCCCAGCCAGCCCTCAGCAGCCGACAGCCCCACTGGTGCCCACTCACCCTCATCCATCCCGCCGAGGATCTGGTCCAGGCTGTTCTCGCCGTAGCGGCTCTTGTGCTCCTTCCACACCGAGCCGTTCTCGCTCCTCAGGACCACAAGCTCACGATCCCCTCGGCCATAGGAGGCAAAGTGGGGGATCTCCACAATCACAGGGCTGCAGCAGGAGGGACAGATGGCAGGCAGTGGCTCCCCTGTGGCAGCTCTGCTGTCCCTTGAGTGGAGCAGACCCAGGCCCAGGTCCTGAGGCTCCCGTGCCCTCCGGAGCCCAGGCAGGCTGCAGTGATGAGGGGCAAGAACGGGCACCTCTGCCCTGGGCACAGCTGAACCTCTGCGACCCCACCCGACACCCCCGTATAGGTGATCAACCTCTAAGGGCCTGGCCCCTTCCCGTCACAGGCCGTCCTGGCATTTCTTCTGGTGGGAGGCTTTGAGGGTTACAGTGAAAGGGAAAATCAGTGTGCACATGACAGGTGAGGGCGATGACGAGGGTGAGGGGCTGGGGTGGGTCCCAGTGCCCGAAGGGCGACAACGCTCCGAGACACCCCGCTGGCTTCAAAGGCAAGGGGCGTCCATCCGTGTGCGAGCAATGCCACAGGGGAACTCTCCAGGGAGACTGCGTCAGCATTCACAAAGTTAAACTGCAGGGGTCCCCAAGCAGTCCCGTCTTCTCCTTCCCTTCTGCAGTTTGCCAGCAAAATAAAACAACTTTTTTCTTTGGCAGTGCTGGGGACTGAACCCGGGCCTTTGCACTGAGCCACATCCCTACCCCTTTTTATTTTTTGTTTCAAGACAGGGTTTTTGTCTGTTTTAAGTTGCCTGTGCTAGTCTTGAGCTTGCAATCTCCCACTTCAGCCTCCCCAACACTGGGATTACCCACCAAGGTTTGGGAGTAGTAACTCTGCCTAGGCTGGGCTCCTTAGTGTATTTAAGGAAAGGCAGGGTGATGGGAGTGGGCTCCCCGTTCTGTTTCCCTGGCGGGGCAGTGGAGAAATGGGATGGGCCAGGGCTCCCCCCGGGCAGTGGCAGCAGTGTATGAGCAGCGCGGGCGGGGCTGGGGAACGGGACCACGCGCACACGCCCAAGGGTGCTGCCTCACCTCAGGAACTGGGCGCCCGTGGGCCCCAAGGCAATGATCCTGCTGGCCAGGCCCTCCTCCTCAGCCAGTGGGGGCGGTGTGCTCAGCTTCTGGGGCTTCACCAGGCGGCAGGTGATCCGTGTGGGCGCCGCACAGGTCCGTGGCGGGATCACCACCCTCAGGCCATTGTGGCGACTTCCTCTCATGGAGCCTCCCCGGGCATCGACCATGAAGCTGACTAGAAATCTAGAAGCGGGGCAACCTCATGTTGGGCACCTGTGCCTCTCTCAGGGACAGGGAGGATGGGCCCTGGGGTCCTGGCCACTCACCCTGTGTGGACAGGGCTGGCCACTGGGCTGATGTTGTCGGAGGTCTCCGTGGCTGGGCTGCTGGGGATGAGCGAGTCCTCATCATACTCTTTAGAGGCCTGAGGAGGAGAGAAAGGCCTCCAGGCTCCCGTCACGCCACCCCTAGGCCACCTGAACGCCACAGCAGACCTCAGAGCCCCATGAAGGAAGACTCTGGGGGACAAGGCATTCCTGGGTGAAACAGCATCACAGGCCCCTATACCTCCACAGCCTCTCCATGCCTGCAGACCCGGGCAGGACTCGGGAACAGAGGGAGGGAGCCCTTGCTCTCAACAGGCTGCAGGTCCCCTGCCTGCCGCCCACCTGCCCACCTGCTTGAGGCCCACTGGTTTCCCCTCCGGAGTTGGCCTGGCACCTGCACTGTCACCTCCTAGCTGCCTGCCCTGTGGGACTGTGGTCCGAATGTGAGTGCACGGGGCACTGTGAGGCCTCTATCTCCACCTCTGTGGAAGGGGTGCTCCTCCCCTCACAGTGACGGCACAGTCGCAGGGAGTCTGATCGTACTCTTCTCCTGTCCAGAACTGGGCCCCGTCCCCTTTCCATGCTTGCTTCTGGAAGGAGTCCCCCTGTTGAGTCCAGATGTCCCTCTTGTGGCCTAGAAAAGGCTTTCTCATACCGCACGATCAAGTGCTTCGCTATCTACCCTTCCTGCCCTCTGTCTCCTGCCTGGTGTGTCTGAGTCATTCCTCTTCCCGGCTGGGCAGCAGCTCCGAGGAGGCAGATGCCCCAGGCCCCCTACATCAAGCCCTATGCAGGCACCCAGGAAGTGACCGCTGACCAGAGGGAGTTCAGAGAGGTACTTGCAGCTTGGTGGTAGAGCACAAGCTTAGTGCGTGTAAGTTCCTGGGTTCAATCCCCAGCACTAAGGAAAAGTACAGTTGAAGAGAATGGGCTGGTCAGACAGCAGCGGAACCCAGGCCCACACAGAGGGCTTCCACTGCTGTTGGCAGCACCCAGGAACATGTCATGGCCGCGTCAGGGCCACCTACTGACATCGGCACTCATCCCTGCGATCCACCCCGGCTCGGAACAGCTGAGGGGACAGTGCTAGCTGGCTCGGTCCTCGCTCCATACCTGGGTCTGGGCCCAGGCTGCTACTTCTAGACATGTGTGTCTTAGAGCTGAGCCTTGGCTGGAGGAGAGCCGTGCAGAGGTGGCAGTGCCAACCCCCAGCAGCACCTCAGTGCTGCTTCTCCCTATGAAGTCTCCTTGCTTGGAAAAAAGTGCCAATGGCGTAAAACTCAACGAAGGGAAGTTTGATTGCAGTGAACTGTATCTTACTTATGTGCTTCTTTGTACAGACTGAGGCAGCTCTGAGGACACACAGAACAGTACCGAGATGAGCAACACCCAACCGGAGCTGCTCTCAGGCACCCTCCTGTCCCATTCCCTGGGGAAAGGCGAGCAGAAGCTGCGCCCTCTTGTGGGAGCAAAAGAGGAGCCCAGAGCACATGACGTGCCCAGGGTTATCCCCGGGGCACCTGTGGGCCACCAGGAGGGTTTCTGCCTGGCAGCATGACCTGCTGCCCACAAGGACAGAGTCTGGGCACAGGAATGTGGCTGTAAGCGTGGGCTCTGGAGCCAGAGCTGCTGGCATGGGTCCTCAGCCTCACGCACACCTGGACTGCTATGACAGCGTCTCACAGCCCAGCTCCTCATCTGAGCACTCTCAGAGGCTGACACCCAGGGCTCCCTCCACAGAGCACACGAACCGAGACTGGAAGGTGCCCTACAGACACACAAGCTTCTCCAGGTCGGTTCCCAGCACACTCCACTAGGGGTGTCTTGGCTGCAAACTGGACAGCGCAGGACGCGCTGCTTCTCACCTGCTCCGGCTCCTCAGGCCTGATCAGCACCATCTCAGGGGTGACGCAAGGGATCCTCGGGATGGCAGGGGACTCCACCCTGTGCATGGAGGCATCGGAAAATCAAATGGTGGTGCCGCAGAGAGCCCATCTCTCGTAAGAGACCTGCGTGCGAGGCCTCTCTGCGCCGACTCTGCACAGCCTCAACTCCCCACTCCCACGCAGGGCCCAGCCTCTTCCCTGAGCCCTGAAGCCTTTGCCTCCCTTGCGCTGTGCGGGACCCCGCCCTGCAGGCCAGGCTGAGGCACTGACTCCTCCACGCTCTGTCCCTTCTCCCTGCCCTTTATGCCTGCCGAAGCCACACCGCCCCTGGGACGGGACCTCACACTGGCCTTGGTGATATATTACTCTATGAACATTTGGTTTGGCTTTGTTTTGTTTTCAGTGTTAGTGATGGAACCCAGGGTCTCTGCCCTGAGCTACATTATCCCCCATCTTTTTGTTGGTTTTATACAAAGACAGGGTTTTGCTAGTGCCACACTGGACTCAAACTTACAATCTTCTGGCCTCAGCCTCCCACGTAGCTGGGAACCTAGCTTTGGTATGCATTCTGTTTTGTTTGTGGTACAGAGACTAAACCTAGGGCCTTCACACTGAGCTATATTCTCAGCCTTTTTTAATCTTATTTTTTAAAAACTTCAGTCAAGGTCTCACTAAGTTGCTGAGAAGCCCAGGCTGGGCTTGAACTTGTGCTGCCTCAGCCTCCCAGGGTGCTGAGACTGAAGGCATGGGTTTTGGTGTGGGTGTAAGATCTCATGGCCAGGGTCTGAGTCTGCTAAATACAAATGGTTTAATTTCTTTGTAGTTTCCCTCCCTGCTGTTGAGCTGCCCTGTTCTATGTAAGCCAGTGGATACTTCGGTGTTTCCGAAACACCTAGGGCTAAGTGTCTGCGAACAGAGGCCGGGGTTAGGCTCCTCTGTAAATCATCCCTGTGTAAAATGTTTCCACAGAAGCAGAGCTCACTGCAATCAGACAGGCCTGGGAAGCAGGGTCTGCGTGGCCACAGGCTCTCTGTGAGATTTACCCCATGGATGGAGGGATGTGGCCAGAGGCTGATAGCAGCTTGGCAATTTTCTAATGTGAACCCCTTCCTTGGGGATTATTCTGGGAATTCATGAGGAGAGGGGCTGCGGACGTGAGGCTATGAGCCAGGGGGAAGAGTGCTGGGGAAAAAGGCCCACTGGACAGGTCGAGGTGAGGAAGTCCCCGCTTGTGACCTTGGCAGGCATGGTGCAGAGCTGGCTGAGCCTCACATGCTGGGACCACGTTCCCGTCACAACACAGGTCCTGCCCTTGTCACGACTTCTCCCCAGTCTGCAACTCCACCGTGATCCAGTGCTGTCCCTTGGCTTCCCATGGGGTGACCCCTCCAGCCAGCCCTGCTTACACCTGGTCTAGCTTTGGCACAAAGTCCAGTAGCTCCCTCTCTTCATCCACGTCTCTGGAATCCTGCCGCTCAGCCTTGGAGCCTACGAGGTCTTCCCCTGGAAAGCACAAACCCTAGTGAGCAAGTGCCTGGAGACAGAGGGCCTCCTCTTTCTTCCCGAGGAGGGGAGGGTGGCCTCTGATGCTCCAAGGGGTCCTGAGCCCCACACGGTTTGCTCAGTCCTGGTCCCCCAGCCCAGGAGCTCGGAGCAAGGCAGCCAGCTCCTAACCTCCTAGTACCCAGCTTTGGAGGAAGGACGACAGCACGGGTAGAAAGAACTTTCTTAGCCTGACAAGTTCCCATTGCAAAGCAGCCCTTTTGAGGTGTGTAGTGACACCCTAGAAAGAGCTGCTACTGCTGTTCATCACCACAGAGGAATTAACTACACTGGAACCAAATCCACTCATTCAGAGAGGTTGGAAGTCATTTTGTAAACATGATTCCTGAAACTTCGTTATTTTCATTACTTTTTCTGTTGTCTCACAATTCCTCATCATGGAATTATTATTTGTAATTCCAAAGCTTGTTACAAAGAGTTCAGGCTGCTGGTGCACCAGGCCTCTTGGTTTCTCTCCTTGCCTGACCTGGGTTGGAGCCTGGGCCCTTGCCCTCGCCCACCATCAACGAGTACGAGAAGGGTGTGCCTGGCTTTGGGGTGTGGAGTTGACAGATGGAATCACACAGCTCATGCAGTGATGACCACAGACACAGTGGCATGGGTACAGACAACGCGGACAGGCACGCGCAAGTGCCCGGCAGGGGCACGTGGTGAGCATGTCCTGATTTAGTCAAGCTCTGGGCTCTGACTTGAGCCCCCCAGAGGATGGAGAGCAGCAATGGTTAGTGAGGACTGGAGTGCTTGGGTGGGATGCACTCTGGTGAGAGAGATCACAGGGAACAGAGAGTGTTGCATACCCATTATAGTTATGTGAGCAGTTCCTAGAAAGCAAAGGAGAGCCAAGTTGAAGGAAGGACAGCACTGAGGTCAGATAAAGTAGAGACACATTATCAAGGGCACACAAGGACAGCTCTACACATTAACTGATAAGGTCACACAGCCACCGAATTACAGACAGCAGGAGCTGCAACATAGACTCAGTCCAATCCAGAGGTCTCGCAAGCTCAAGAGGAGCGGGGATTATTGCGGGGGGGGGGGTGGCACTAAAAGCACCCTGCAGTTCCCCACGTTGACTCTGCTGTGACTTCATAACAGTGGACAAATCTCCAAATCTACCGGCCCACCTGGGCCACACCTTATTAAAACGAATTTTCACCGATTGTAAATCACCCACTTCGACTCAGGCAGAGTGTTGGGAAATCAGCAGCCCGAATGTTACCACAGTTCCAATTTGAGTCACATCCCACCCAACTCAGTGCCCACCATACACACACGCGTGCACACACAAGAGCTCAGGAGAGTTTAAACTTCGATCCCTTGGATGTCAATTTCCCCAAACCTACGATTATACGAAAGGGAGTTTTTGATAATGGACAAATATGTAAAGAGTGGGTCCCTGCCCAGTGCTGAACCCGAGTGTACTGTGAGGGACCTCGCCCGTAGCTTTGCAAGGGGCAGGACGCAACTCGGGGTGCTCAGGGTCCCTCGGAGCCCGTGAGCTCATCACCCTGTACATCACCTTCATCCTCAGAGACGTCCAGGACCTCGTCGACAGTCTCAGGGTAGCTCATCCGGGGCTTCTCACCGGCTAACTGAAAGGAGAGAAGGCGACAGCTCAGCACCAACAGCAGGGCGCCCTTCCCACCCACCAGGCACCTGGTAGCCATGAGGTGACAGAGAGGAGGTGGGAAAAGAGATGCACCCCAAAGGAGGAAAACCAGACCTCTGGGCTCTCTGCAGGCCCCCCAGGGACATCTGGGTCCCATCGGGCGCTGCTCCCTCTGGCCACCGCACCAGTGTCTCTGGCCACTAGGTGGCAGCACAGCCCGCCTGAAGTAGGCTGCTCGCCGCCCTCTGGGTGGGTGCTTTCGGCTAGGTAGAGGACCTGGGCTTCCAGCATAACCCAAAGGTCTGGGGTTTGGGCTGGGATCCCGGTGCAGGGCAGGGCAGACATACCACTAGGCTGCTTTCATCCGTGACGACTCTGAGCACGTCTATTACAGAGATGTAGCCCAAACGCTTGGCGATTGCCAGAGGCGTGGTTCCATTCTAGGTCAAACAGAACAGGAGGGTGCGGTCAGACAGAGGGCCCGGTCAGAGGACAGTGTGGCCCCGGGGGCAGAGTGGAAGGGCCAAAGGGACAGAAAGCTCTTGGCGCCAAGAACCAGATCTCTGTAAGAGCACATGTCTCAGTGCCCAGAGGCCGGGGGGCGGGGGGAGGCGGGGACCTGTATGGCAGTGCTGTTAGGTGTGGGGCAGGGGGAACCCTGGAGGGCAGAGCCGCCTCCCAGGAGGGAAACCTGGGAGAGGCGGTGGGAAGCCCCGCTCTGATCCCCGGAGCAGAAGGCAGAGGGACACAGCTCCCGGAGAAGCGCAGCACCAAAACAGCCCTGTGCTTCCAGCAGCTGAGCGGCCACGGGGGCGGTCACAAGTCACTAAAGACGAGCAGGGCATGTTTGCAACTTGGGTTTTCTTGGTACCCAGAGTCAAACTCAGGACTTTGTGCTTGCCAGGCAAATGTGGTGCCAAGGAAAGGCAGGTGCAGTGCCACTGAGCGAAATCCCGGGCCCTAGTGTGGCACCAACGAGCCACAGCTCTGGCCTTGCAGCTTTGATTTCAAGAGAAGAGTTAAGTGAAAATGAACTGATGCCGAGGCCTTGGTTTCTCGGGGGCTTTCTGTGTAGCTCTGGGATGTGGCCAGCGGTCCAGTTACCTCCAGCGTTCACAGCACTGTGCACTTTCAGAGGCAGTCTAATCAAACCTCCACACAGGAACAGAGGAGGTTCATCCTCTGAATGAGGGCCCACAGCCCCAAGACAGGGCACCTGAAGACGCTCGCTGTGCTCACGTGTGCCACCCTGACAGCCATTTCACACCTCGAGGCAGAGTCAAGAACATTTCAAACCAAAACGAGGAGAGTAAACGCTGCTTAAAAGGACGAACTTCAGTCACCAGAGAAACGAACTGACCACGGAGCTGTCTGAGGAGGCACCGAAGGGCTCAGGCGTCCTAGCACAGCAGGCCCGGGCCCAGACCCAGGCATGAGCCACCACTCACCGAGCTGACCTCGTTTGGGGAAGCGCCGCTCCTCAGCAGCAGTGTCACGATGTCTGTGTGTCCCTGCTGCGCCGCCTGGTGTAAGGGGCTGTACCCCAGCTGTAAAGGAAGGCCAAGATGGCAGGGCCGCCGCTGAGGGGAAGGGTGGTCCACACACTCCAGAGCCCATCAGCTTCCCGCAGGAGACATGAAGAAATGCATTTTCCCCATTTACTCCCGCAGGGACAAAGTTTAAAACTGCGGCGCAGCCCAAAGTATGCTCAGAGCAGCTCAGGGCATCCTATGGCACATGGGGAGAGTCCAGGTAGGACCCGGGCTAAGCACCCTGTACCTTGGTCTTGGCATTGACGTCTGCCTGGTGCTGCAGCAGAAACTTCACCAGCTTGATGTTTCCATAGTGGCTGGCCACGTGGAGTGGTGTGTAACCCATCTGAAACGCGGGAGACACACAGGTCTCAGTGCCCAGGGGGCATCCGGGCAGGCTGAGAGCTGCTACCAACTGCCTTTCTCGAAGGCCTACAACGCTGCAGCAGCTGGTTAAGAGGGAAGGAGGGCCTGCGGAAGGCGGCGGCTGCCGGTCTGGGCAGGAGCAGGGCTGAGGTGGCAGAGAGTGCGCACATGGGAACGGCGTCAGCCTGGGGAGAGGGGAGCGCCCTGGGGGCACCTGAGAGAGTGAGGACGGGGGTGGGGCCCAGGGACAGTGGCAACATCTAGAGGGAGCCAGCGCCAGAATCCCAGGGGTCATTTCAAGGAGGCCACATGGCATCACGGTGGCCTGACCACGCTACCCTGTGTCTGTCAGGAAGGCGAAAGCCCAAGGAATTTATGGAAAGCAGTCACTGCTTGAAATGAGCAGGCTGTGCTCACTTATTCATGGGTTTGGGCTGCCAAGGAGCCAATTTGTCCTGTTTAGATGTTTGGTTTTTTGGTGCTGATAGGAAACTTGAGGCCTTGTGCAAGCTAGGCAGGTACCATCAATTACCATCAAGCTACACCCCAGCTCCTGTGGAATATTTAGGGGCCGCCCCAAAGGAGAATAAGCCAAGGCCTTTGAGGTCTTTGGTCCCATGCCCCAGCGGAACCAGCGACAGATTCCAGAGCCTGAGGCCTGGACCTCTGCAATGGCTTTGCAAGTTTCCAGTCAGTTCTAATGCACAGAACGGGGCTCCGCAGAGTGGGACCCCAAAGGACGAAACTAGGTCCACAAGAGAAACCCTAAGGATCTAGAATATTCTCAGGTTTAAACAGGTTTTTGTTGAAGCTTCAGGACATTTAGCATGACATTGGTGCTCAGTGCCCAGTGCTCTGGTGGGCAGCTCTGGAGGGAGAGGGGTGGAGCAGGGCAGTGTCCCCAGATGCCTGTGACAGAGGAGCAAAATGCACATCTATGAAGCCCCTTCTTTCTTCCCTGCTGGAAAAACCTATCCTCTCTGGGTTCTGGTTCCTGTCTCACACAGGCATCAGGTTCCTCAGCTCCTCCCTGTTCCTCACAGCCTCCTCCAGCTGAGCTGCAAACACCACTAGCACAGTGTGTAGACTGTGCGTGTGACATCATGTTTGCCTCACACTGCCGTACAGGGATCCCTGCACATGGAAGGCGTGCAGAGAAAGACAGACGGATATCTCTGCATGCAGGAATAAAGTCATGTTTTTGCGTGACTCCAGGGGAACCTGACAGGTGGACGTACTTCCTGCTCCCCTGAGACTGATCTCAGGGTCGTGAATAAGCATTTCTCTCAAATTCTTCCTCCAGAGGCTCGAAGGCCTAGCACACCTTTTAAAACCCTCAAACGGAAAGTAAGATCCTTAGGACCGAGGTCTTCAAACTCCACTGCCAGGCCGAGGAAACGGCGGGAGGAAAGTTCCACCCGGTTCTTTGCACCTCTGTGCAAAGGGAGGCTCTGAGAGGTGAGGGAGGTGGCCCTGGGTGGGACAGCAGGGGTGGGCCCTATGGGACGGGGAGGCTGCCAGGCTCACCCGGGTGGTGGCATCCACTGTGACACCATGTTTGATCAGCACATCTGCCACTGGGACGTGTCCTTCCTGTGCCACCAGATGGAGGGGAGTGAGTCCACTCTGGAGAGAAAAAACGGGCGTCAGTTTTGAGCCAGGAAAAGGTATTGAGGTTTGGGAACCTGACCTGGCTCTGTAGCCACTGACCTGCATTTTTGTTTTCTTTTTCCTTAATAAAAAAAAAAAAAAAAGCTGCTTTATTAACTCCAGTGGCAAATTTATAGAAAGTTAACACATCTGATCTATTCAGATTTACATTGATATGATAATTATATGTGTAAAGTTCTTATTGCAGTCATGTTCTACACCGAAGACAAATATTCAAGGGGTTCTCTAGGTTTCAAAATTCAAATCTCAGCGCCGTGGCTGAATAACATGATTACAGACGGAGATCAGAAAGCTGTAAAAGTGCACGCTTCACAGCAGCTCCCTTCTGTCTCTCTCACCCTTTCCCAAAATCTTTTTCATTAACAATCTCTACTCTTAAAAGTGCATTTAAATTTTATAGGTAAGTGATTTGATTTAAACGATTACTTGGATCTTTAAAAAATTTCAAAGTGTATCAAAAAAACAAGAGAAATGCATTTAATACTAATTATTTATTAAAATGCCAAAAAGCAAACAAAAATCCTCTTAAATATATAAATACTTAAATATGGAAAATAGCCATCAATAGTCAAAGTATTTTTAATAGTTGTACAAAAAAAGTAAAGTGGGTACTTGATGCCAGGGAAATTTAAAAATGAGACTCTTGAGGCAAATGCTGCCTGTGGGCCAGCCTTGTATTTTAAAAATTTTAAACCTAATTTATACATACACATATATCGAAAGAAATTTTTTTAAAAAATCACACCACAAGTAAAAATATTGGTGACTTGTTTACAAGGTGCAATATACCAGTACAGTGTATTCGTCTTAAAGAATGTGGCTTCTCAAATTTTAAAACTCCATCGATTTTCATTGATGTACATGGTTTAAAATTCAGTTTTGTGACATAACACAAGAAACCCAAGTAATGAACCCTAGGCCCTGAGCACCTTGTATTCCAACATTAGTGAGCATGAAAACTTTTGGAGAGTAAAGATTATCTGAATAAAATTTATGGCCCGGAGCGAGCAGTCAGTAATCCCAACACACATTATGGCTGTGCAACAAATTTTGTATGGTTTGCATGTCCTTCAATAACTGAAGGGTTTTCCTGCTTTTTTCCCAGGTGTCAGTTTGGCAAAAGCCTTTTGACTTGTGGTTCCTGTGAGTCCAGAAGCACGGCTCCTGCTGTCTCCTTCTCCATCAAGAGTCTTTTTGTTAGCTCTGAGTTCCTTGTCCTGATTCTCTGGCGTCTTTCTCTAGCCGTGCTTGGCATTTTCAAACTTTAGTTACTTGGTTGGCGTCTGCTTCCGTCTTTCCCACTAGGCCCCAGTTCACACTCGGAGCTCTTTCAAATCAGTGTTGGTGACTCCTATAGAAGTTTCACAAGCTGCTGTGCTGGTGACCAAAGCTCATCGGGCCAGACCCATCCTGTGAAGTCGGTGGGCCTTCTGACAGCCCTTCCCCAGTGCTGCTGGAAGAGGGAGGTGTTGCCGACTTCTTTCTCCTACTACCTCGTGAAGGTACTTGTGTTGCCACAGGAATGTTGTTCACCACTCGATCACTGCATAAAACTTCACTGTGTGGTTTCATTAGGTGCGAGACATGTTGAACATTAGCTACCATGGCACGGCTAGGACTGTGGTCTAGCGGCAAAATCACACAAGCGTAATCTACAATGAGGCTGTGCACTGAAACATTTAGGAGGTCCTTCCTTCTCTGGTGGTTTTGACTTTTTTTTTTTTTTTCTTGTGGTGGGAGCATGTGACGTCGTTTCATCTTCAAAGGTACGTCTCTGTTTCTAGGTCAGCCTGCTACTCAGCTGCCTTAGCCTGCATGTGTTTCCTTTCTGCTCTTTTTCAGAGTTTTGCTTCCAATTCTTGCCTTTTTTTTTTTTCCTGCAAGCGCTTGCCTCGTGCTAAGTTTGCTATGTCCCACTGCCGGAAGATCCAGTTTTACAAGCTGGCTCTGAACATGCGTTTGAGCCTGCTGCCGGTCTCATTCTCGGGCTGCCTGTTTCTCCGAGACAGATGCTCTCCATTTCTGCATGCTTTACCACAGGCTGCTCGTATCCCAATTGTTTTTCTAAAAGATTACACTCATTTTCTGCAGCTAGCAGCTGAGATGTCAGTTCTCGATTGTGCTGATTCCTCATTCTTTCAATTCTCCCTGTCTTGCATCTGTTCATCTCGTACTTTTTTTATACTCAACCGTTTCTCTAGACCAAGTTTTCACACTTTCTTCTGCCTGAATCCTCTCAAGTCCCAGGTGTCCCATCTTATCTTGAAGCTTCTGCGGAGCAGAAGACACGGCTCTGCTGCTGCTTTCTGCGCAGGCAAGCACAGACTTATTTGGGGAGCGTCGCAGTTCACTATCAGGGAAAGGTTTATTGGGTGGATACAATACATGCAGAGATGCAGAAGGATGAACCCTACTTCGTTAGACTGCGATGGTTCAGCCAAGATACCCGAGAACTGAGACTCAGAAGCCGCAGAAACCGATGCCACTGCCATCTTTCTGGTCCCACGGCACCGGCCTCCGCTGACTGGGTTCACTCTGAGTTCCTGAGCTCTTCTTCAAGAGCCTAGAGCTGCTCACCAGAGGCGGCCCTAAGAGGAACCCCAGATGGAAGGGACGGGGCGCTGCCACCAGGGTAACTGTACCCCCACTATCCACTGACCTGCATTTGACCAACTATTTGGTAAAACTCTTCTTGTTCAGGACCTCAATACCTTTACCTCCCCAAAAAATGAGTTGGCTAAACTAGATCAGATGTTAGCAGTGTTTTCTGTTCGGAGCTGGACTGTCAAGACCTTAGGCCCATAGCTTTGTAGCAAGTACCCAAGGTTGCCAGTTGTGGTGACAAGCAGCTCCGGCTGACACGGAAATGAGTGAGGCTGGCTGTGTGCCAATAGAGCTTTATTTACATGGACAAGGAGTGCACCGGGTTGGGCCACAGTCATCGGTGAATCTCACGGTGCCCTCCAATTATAACATTGCCCACTTCCATGCTAAATTTTGGAGACTCGGTTTCCTAGTTTAGGATACAGGGATTATCACTGACTCAATGTCAAGGGCAAAGTGGGACACTTGAGAAAGCGTGGTGTATGTGAGATCATTTGGAAGAGGATGACGTGCCGGGTAAAGGTAGCACGTCATTATCCGCACTGGTGCAGCACTGCACAGAGGGGAGGGTGTCTCGGGAGTGACAGCCCTGCTCTACTTCTCAGCTCATCCTCGGGCGATGGAATCAGACATCTGGTTTGCTGTGTAGCATGTGCCCTGCATCTTACCTCCATGACCTCTGTAGACAGTGGGACAGCTTCCTGTTCCTCTGCCAGCACAGGCAGGGACTCTGCTTCTCTCCTCTGCCTCCTGCATTTCCCAAGGCTACCCAGGATCCACGGGTGGTGCCTCCAGCACTGAGGTCACCGTGTCAGCCACCAACCTTTCAGGCAGGTGCCTCACCTGACTCAAGATCAACTCAAGAATCGGCTGTGTGAGGGGTGTGTTCTGGGACAGACCCACCATCATTACAGTCTCCTAACACAGCCCAAAGAAGTGGGACCAGGAGACACTCAGGCTGCCAGGAAACACAACATCCCACCATGACAGTTCCCAAAGGGAAGTCACCTGTCTGCGTGTGTACACGAAGGAGCGATGGAGTGAAAGTTTTTTAGGAAGTCTGAAGTCATTCCTAGAATGCTCATCTTTGAGAAACTGTTATGTTAATTAATCATCTGCAATGGTTCTTCTACTGTGTGACTCCATTTATATAAACATCCAGAACAGGCAAAGTGACAGAGCAGCTGAGTGGCCTCAGGGATGGGGCTTTTGTGGGAGGGAAACTGGCTGCTCTGGAGACCAGGTTCCTGCTGGGTTCTGAAAATGTCTGAAAGTTACACAGTAGTGACGATTGGCCAGCCATGTAAATATCCTAAAAACCATCAACTTGAACAGTGTAAAGGGTAATTTTTTGGGTGAAATGTATTTCAATAAGGTAGTTATTTTAAAAAAGAAGTAATTCTTGGTCAGGTTAGGAATTTGTTTGAGAACCTGAGGAAAACCAGCAATACCTCATCCAGAAAAATGCTCTTGAGCCCTAAGTATTGTGTAACATTTAAAAAGACTTCATGTTCATCCTCCTGTAATTTCTACATTCAACTCCTAACGTACAGGTCTGTTTAAAAAAATCTTCCCCCATAGGAGATGGATATTTTGTACCAAACTATTTAAAACATTCCTGATATAGATCTGTCGTATTTGAGAAAGCGAACTCTGGATTTTCAAAATGATCTTTTTGTGGCTCCCTGAATGTGTCTGTTTAGAAAGACAGGGATGGTACAAGAAAGCCAGAAAAGGCCTTGGGTCCTGCAGCTTTCAGGACAAGCAACCTCCCCAACGGTTTTCTACAGAACTGAGCTAAAGCTAACAAAAGGCTGCTGTAAGGAATGTACACACATACACACACACACACACCATCGAACTCAGAGGAGGAGCACACAGTGGGTACTCAGTACGCAGGTGTTATGTCCAGTGAGCTGGCACTGATCACTGCTGAGACTGAAGGGGGCATCTGAAGGTGCCGTGCCTACCTTGTTCCCCAGATTGCCGTTGGCTTGCTTCGAGAGGAGCAGTGTCACCATCTCTGCGTGGCCTTCCTGCGAAGCCAGGTGGAGGGGAGTCACGCCCTGCACCGACTCTGCATTTGCAGACGCCCCGTACTGCAGCAGACTGCGGGCCACATCCATCTGGTTCTGCTTGGCAGCGATGTGCAAGGGCGTGTAGCCGTTCTGAAATGCAAGAGACACCGGAGCTTGGGGACCAAAGCCCGAGGGAGGCCTCAGCACCAGGAAAGTCACTAAGTCAACAAACAGTCCACTGGGTCTGGACACAGACAGCTTTCCAGGCCCTCAGTCAGCAAGCCTCTGTGCTTTCTCCACCTCCTATTTTCTGGTATTCTGCTGGGACCAACTTCAGGGCACAGGAAGCTAGGATCAAATAGGTGACCTACAGAACAAATCTAAAGCGAAGTTCTCCTTTCCTGCCTTAAGAACCCAAAGCCCCCAACACTTCAGAAAGGAAGAGAGGACATAGCCTTTTATCTTTCCCTGTGCAGTTGGGCCCAGAGCTGCTCCCTCAGCCACTGGCACCAGGCAGGGTGATGTGCGGGGCAAACAGTGTCTCAGGAGGACGTGGGAGCCAGTCCTGGGCTACTCCTAACAAGATGTATGGCCAGGGCAAGGCAGTCCACCATCTAGAATTTTTTTCTTAGTTCTTTTAAGCCATTACAAGTGGATAATAACATCTACCTTCATTTCTTAAAATTCTTGGGTGGAGCAACTATGATAATGCACAAGAATGCACTTCCCCAAATTAAGATCAGAAGCAATGTACAGTGAGTCACGCCTTTGCAGTGCAGTGATTCACAAGGCAGCATTCATTCCAAGACCAGATGGAGGAGGTTGGCCCTGGACACCAGCGGTGGCTCTGTCACCATGCAGTTTGTTCAGTTAATTGTTTCGGTAGCAAAACTTCCTCTCTGAAGGAAGTGCCTGGGTTTCCGTGCAGAGCAAGCTCCTTGCCTCATGCAGACCGCTGGTCTAGAGACAGGCTCCTCTGGTCATGGTCGTTAGGAGCCACTGCTCGCCTCAGTATGTTTTAAGCTTCCCGAAATCAGGTAGAGCACGGCAGGCGTTTTCATCCCTGTCCCATGTCGTGGACCAAGGCGCCAGTTCTCTGCAGTGAGACGTGCCCTAGCCACTGTCACACCGTGGGTAAACGACAGCCCAGTCCAGCCCTGGCCCTTCTGCCGGAGCAGTGCTTCTAGAAGGTGCCATGTGTATGCAGGTCGCTGGGGTCCTTGCTCAGATGTGATTCCCATCTGCGAGGTCTAAAGAGGACTCAGACTGCGTCCCAAGGACCACACTCTGAGCGGAGAGGCCTAGAACACTCAGGGTGCAGGGCCCAGCCCCTTGGGAGATGGCTAGAGGTGAGCGGTCTCAAGGCCAGGACCCCTCTGCTGCCCATGAGGGTGGAGTCCTCCACCTCCACGCCACTCGCTGTCTTACTGTGGTGACCAGCATTTCTGACCGCCAGGACCCCCGGCCGGGAGATGGGAAGGGACAGGGAGGGGTATTTACCAACACGGTGGCCCTGGAGGCCATGGGAAACAATGGCAAGGCGAGGCTGTACAGTGGCTCTTCTGGGGAAATTAAAAAATTGTACTTTACTCCCCAAATTAAATTGAACAAAAAAAATTTTCTGTGAAGAAGTCCATAACAGAACTCCTCCTCCTTAACTGGGTGATGTTATGAAAATGCACGACAATCTTTGGGGGTCATGTTCAAATGACAACATTGGCATTTTGATTAAAAGAAAATTAATTAAGCAAAATAACTCTTATACTATATCGAAAGAGAGCAAAGAAAAGGAGATGCAGTTCAAGACACAGAGCTGCCTCCCAACACAGACCCTCACTCCCTGAGAGACACAGTCTGCAGCGTGGTCACAGACACGGCTCAGGAATGCTCGATGACCTGGGCAGCTGTGGGTGTCCATGCTGGCAAGGGCTGACCAAGGAGCACGAGCACAGCCAGGCTCTGAACACGGACCTCTGCCCTGACGAGCTGAGCGGACAGGGAGTGACCTGAGTAGGGTGGGGACAAGGGCAAAGTGGTCGCAGGTCAGGGACCAGCGACTGTCAGCGGCTCCGCTCCCCAGGAAATGAGCTCACTGGAAGGAATGCAGGCGCAGAGGGCTCTGCCTCATCAGCACAGCGCAGCACGGCGCTAGCCTCAGACCAGGAACGGGGGGGGGGGG